GAAGTCAGGAACGAGGGTGCATTTTTTCCCCTTTTTCTGTTGATCATGCAGCCTTAGTTATGCATTTTTGTAACTAGTGGCCCTACAGTGGGTAGCTCTTTAAACAGCTAATCTTAATCTGGCAACTAATCATTATCTAGCGTTCACAGAATGGTGGCTTGAACCTTAGCTGGCCTTTTGGGAGCTTTCTGCTGCAAGGAAAGAGGGAGATATGTCACTAGGATTTGAATTAAACCAGAAATCTCCTTCCCTTGGATTAAAGTGTTAAAATGGGAATATGTAGGAGAAGGAAGGTATTAATTTTAAGGTCGGTGCTTGACTGTTGTATGAGTTTTACTGGCCAGCACCTCTCTTAATTGCAGAAAATGGCTTACCTGGATATCCGATGTAGAAAGCAGATGAATGTGCATCCTTAGTTTCCTCCCCTGGGAAGGTCACAGTGTCTCTGAGGCAAATAACAAACCCTGCCAGTGTGTGGTCAGCAGATGCTTTCTGCACTGTGACTGCAGACAAGAGTGGACTGCTGCCGTTAACAACTGCAAGGGCTGTTTTTTTGCTTTACCTATTTCACCCTTTATTATTAGTATTGGTTAATGTGGTTTTCGTCTCTTCTGTGTCTGCTCAGCAGCTGATGCCTCTCAAAGCAGAGACAAACTATCTTCAAGGATAAAAAAGTGTACAGATTTACTTGCATTGCTGACATCTTCTTACCATTTTTTAGTATCTTTGCCACACTACTTACCCGACAGGTTGCAAGAAGACTTGTAGTGACATGGGCAAAAGGGTTGCATGTGGTTAGAGATGAACTGTAGCAGTTCACAGGGTAAATAGCCCTGATTCAGAATTTTGCTGTAATTATCCAACTTAAGCATCCAGATGAAGGCTATCTTATAAATGGACAACTATCATAATGATTAACTTGTTTTAATTGATCCTGAGGTCATTCTGGTTTTTATTTTTTAATTTTTTGTAACTACATTTTTATCTATCCAAATCAATAAACTTCTTGCTAAAAATCGGTATTTTTTGTACTGCCCTCAGACATCACCAGTAGGTTGTCCCTCATGTTGAGAAGGTTCATGCAGGAAGGATAACTTACTGATCCAAGGAAATGGACAACAGAGTTCTATGGGCATTGGCAGAAAATTTGCCTTGTGTGGAGCAAACTACAGCATGTACACTGGCTGTGTGCCTCGTGGAGGCAAAAATGTTGAACTTCTCTCTGCTGTAGATTATCCTGCCCTTAAATATGGCATGAGGTCTGCCTGTGTGTTTTGTGTTTGTGTCACAGCCATTGTCACCAGGCTGACCTTGTCTCATAGGAGATGACATTTAGCCTAATTTTATCCAGACTCTAGTGTGACCAGATTCAGTTTTAGAGCAGAGGTGGGTAAATGTGCTGCTCAGACTTATGGCTGGCATGTGTTTGAAGAGCAGTCTGCTTTCCTCTCATCTTACCCTGAACCATTCCCCAGGAGCTGGCAAAGGCCAGTATGGAGGTTTGGTTTGCTGAGAGGGGCAATCATTGCTTTTGAGAGAACAGAGAGAGGCTCTATTAGCTACAGGAAGCCAACAGTTCTTCACAAAAGACCCTTGATGTTCTGGACTGAGCTGTAGTTGGTGCTAATTTCAGCTCTTAAGGGAAGTCTTAATTATCATACAGGACCAGCATATTTTTAGGAAAAGAATGAAGATTTTTTTTTTCAGCTTTTGTCTCACTCCTAAAGATACTAGTAGATAAGAGAGACAACTCCAGTCCTTCAGGGAGTGTTTCCAAGAGCAGAGTAAAAGAAGATAGATATGATAATTATATTTAGTGTTCGGTGGTCTTAGGTGTCTCACATACTGTGATTTCTCCTCTAATACAGTGTATTTTATGGCAGCCCCTGCTATAAAACAGCTTTAGTACATGTCAGACCCAGCGTAATTTCAGCCTCAGCACTATAGTGAAGCAACAACAGTAAACTTCTTGCTCAAAATTGCAGATGCTTGAAAAAACTTGCCCTGTAGAGTTCCTTCATGAGTCCTGACTCTCAGTACAGAACCACAGAATCATAGATTCATGAAGACTGGAAATTACTTCCAAGTTCATTAAGTCCAACCTTTGACCAAACACCACCATGCCAACTAAACCATGGCACTGAGTGCCACATCCAGTGGTTTCCTGAACTCTTCTATTATCAGAATTTGTAGCTTTGAGTACCCATACAGGAGTCAAACCCAGAACCTTGGTGTTATTAGCACCATGCTCTAACCATCTCAGATAATCTAATGCATCAAGTACTTGGAAAAAAACTATCTTAATTTAAAGAAGTGAAAATAAATTTTATTACCCTAAGTCAATTTTATTAAATGGTTTGAGGTGATAATGTTATAATGATAGGAACATAAGTACATACATAAAATATATCTCTCGGATGTTAACGTATTGAAATGAATGGTTTGTAGTATAAGAACTGATCCCTGAGACTGAGATCAGAGTTGTGTTTCTATCTACATCAGATTTGCCATGAATTCTAGTACATCATTGAGTTGAATTGATTTGACTAAATAGAGTAGAATTTGTGTTTCTCAATTGTATTTTTCCCAGACAAGAATTTAGAGTTGTTTTTATTGTATTTTTCTTTTCTAGATCAGTATGCCTAATTTTTTCCCCATGGATTTATTACAGAATAAATTAATTTGGAGGTACTGTCATGGGACATTTATTTGATTCTCATTCAGAAGATCAAAACACACTTTTGAGCCACAGACTGGATTCTTAGTATGAAAAAAATGTTCCTCCTGGTTGAAAAGACATGGTTTCGCAAACTAATGGAGCCTGAGATTCTATTTTTGGTACATATTAACTACATTTTCTGAGAACAAACCAATTTGTGTAATTACTCCAAATTCCTTCCACAGCTAGAAGTCTGTACAACTCCCTACTGATAGTCTTTTCAGTATTATTCCCATATCTATGCACTTATTCCAGTTATATCTTTTACAGGAATACTACTTCAAGAATTCTCTTCAGAGAGTATTTTATTGTTCATAAGGTTTTAGATCATCCGTATAGTTTGATTGTTAGATTTGTTCCTTGTTTACTGGAGTCTCTCTTTGTTTAATTCTTATTCATGTATTCCAAAAGGACCTGAAAGCCTTAAGCAGTTCCATGATCCTGTAGTGGGGGACACCCTACTGACTGAAAGAAAGAAAATCTCAAGTGAAGAGAGCTTAAAGTAGCTAAGATATAGGAAGTAAATAGGTGTAGAAAAGGAGGATAAAATGGAGAAAATGAGCCAAGGTTTTAGGAAAAACAAAGAAGGATGTATTCTCTTTGAAATCAAATTAACGTTGGATATTGGGGGCAATATCCAAAATGTACATGAGTACAAAACAGAAATTGAAACAATCTCCTCTTCACTGATACTTGATCTGTTCTTGATAGTCACTTCTCATGCTGGTCCAGAGGTGATGGCTCCTACACCTGCTGCCAGACACACCTTGTGGTAGCCTGGAATGAGTCAGCCCCAGAGCTTCTTACCAACGTGAGACAAGGAGCCAAACCCTACCTTTGGCACCAGTTTCCCTTCAGACATCTGAGCAGAGAGGTGCCCAGGGTGGGCAGCTTGGTGGTTACTCTGCAGGTCAGTGTGGCCAAGTCCAGTGTGGGCTTCCTTTGATCAGGCTGAGATCAAGTCTGCTTCCCTGCGAGCAGCCCTGCTCCAACAAACAGGCTCCTAAACTCTCTTGAGGAGTGCACTTCAAACCAGAGGCACCCATACACTGCAGCTGCTTTCAACCATAGTTTCCACATCTTGTAGAAAACAGAATAGGATTTTCTGATCAAAACACAAAACTACCAATATAGCTTACATATTTTCTTACCTTTAGCCTGATCTTGATTAATTTTTTTTCATATTTGAAAAATAAAATCCAAAAGCATTTAATGTCAGATATCTAAAACGACTGTGCTATGCATCATGCAAGTGACTGCTGGTTTATTTTCTGAAAAAGCTGCAATCATAAGGCCCTTCCCTCCTTCTAGTAAATGGACACAAATATTCACAGGGCTTGGTACATTAGGCTAGGTAGAGTATTCATTCATTTTCTGGAAGAAGTATTTGCAAATAAATGCTATTAAAAAAGAAAATCACTGAAAATCTTCTTCATAGTCCTTTAACCAATGTTAGTGCATTAAAGCATAGCTGAATCTGGTGAGGCACTAATAGGTAAGTTCTTCTGAAGAGTAGATGTTAGTGAGAATTTAAGGAATGTTTGAATTGTTTTTTCTAATTTGGCATACAAATATTGATATTGTGCAATACTGAATAAATTTATTGCATGTGCTGTAGGGTTTACATCCCTATCAGTGAAACTAGGGGGGACTTTTGGGTAGAGTCTGCTAGATTTTATTTGAAAGTGTGCATTTTATTTGCAGAAGAGAAGAGGCAAATATTCATTTTCATTGTATTCCTTCACTACTTAGCTGTTCTTAGAGTTTCCATTAGTTTTGGAGTGCTAGTGACTACTTCTGATTTGTTTTTTTTTTCTTTTTATAATCAAGCATTATTATTATTATTATTTTGTTAGCATACTTTCTCCTCAGAAGAAGGAAATTGCCTTACCCTCAGAGCAGAGTTCATCCTTTCTGAAGTAGTCATGTGCAGAGCAGATGTGGAGTCTAAGCCCCCTGCTTCCAACTCTTGCTCCAGTCAATGAAGAAGGATGAGCACTTCTGGAGTAATCTGTCTCTGAAATCCATCTCAGGACGTTAGGGATTTTGCACTGAAATTGTGAAATTCACCATTTGGTGTACAGTGTCAAGATGATGGCGTTTGTCTAAGTACCAAACCAAGGCTCAAAGAAGATGGGATGAACACCCCTATGAGTTACAGTCAATTCTTGGTGCATATCAATGGCTTGGCAACGTGTTTATGAAAAAGCAGTCTTTGATAGGATGGAGTGTGATGCTGTGAAATGTCCCATGGATTTACAGTCTCAATTTTCAATTTCAGGGAGGAGAACATTGCTATTATCAGGGAAAAATTCGGGGAAATCCTGTATCTTTTGTTGCCTTGTCAACATGCCATGGATTACAGTAAGTCTGCTGCTTTGTTTTTACTGACCTTTGTTTATTACTCTTCTAAGCAAAATCAAGTTGTTTATAGTAAAATAATACATGTGTATAAATTTATTTTCCTACTAGTTTGCCACCAATATTAAGTAATCAACAACCTTCAGAATTTCCTTTATTTTCTAAACTGAGAACTTATGGCAGTGGCCAAGTCCTGTTTTAAGATAATTTATTATAGAGATAGCAGAGTTTAAGTAGCTGAAAACATCCTATTCTACAAGAATAAAAACAATGCCAATAAATTATTTGGAAATTCTGTTCTTTTCTTGTTGCTATAATGATGTATACTTTATTTCTTTTCTAGTCTCTTCAAAGAAAATGTCAGTTTAGAATTTATCTTGCACTATCCATTTTTGTTAACAGAATTTCTGGCCTTAAGATGTGTTTATGGGGTAACACCTTGTGTATAGTAAAATTTTGAAAAATTTAGAAGAAAATGTGCAATAATTCCTATTTGAAGTACATAATTTTACTTAAAATATAATAAAAGCCGCTGTCAACTAAAGTTTACATGAAGCTGTGTATAGATTATACAGCTTTTGGATCTGTCTACTTTTGACATTACTGAATGATGCTAGTCAGATTTTCAGATCAACCAAGTGCCTGTCACATCTGGGAATTATAGGATCTCAGCACTTCTAATACTGACATCAGCTTGAAAAGTCATGGCACCAAGTGAGCCTGTGTGGAGATCAAGCGAGCTTTACCCTTTTCTGTGGAATCAGGGTTTAGCTGATGGAAATCTTCAGCCTATTGTCTATCTGCAACTATTCTGTATATAGTTCTGGTATCAGTCATATAAGCACTTTTATTTGAGTGGTATGTTTCTTTTCTAGCTGTATATTCTTTGTTATGAAGGGGAGAATGCATGCAAAAGACTTTTCATCCTTACACTTGTCTGATTTACAGCTGTGCAGCTCAAGAAACTTGAGCCCAGTTTGAAGTATGGACAGTGAGCCTAAAAATAGTAACTTCCTAATGCATCCTGAGCCACTGCATGGCTTCCATTAGCAGTGATCCATTAGGTCTTGGCCCCTGCTAACTCCTAGGAGAAAAAGCAGGAACGAAGGAGAACCTGCATGTCTTTCCCTGCCCTCTTTTTGTGAATTTATGCTTAAAACTGACTGTTCTGCTGCTCTGTATTCTTAAATGACTTGATATCCAAATTGTTCCCTTCTAAAGTTAATGATGAATGATGCACTTTTTCGTTGTATAATTTAGCTCTCTCTTGAGAGGTATCTCCCTGCCTCCTTCCCCCCCTCCATTTTTTTTCCTGATATAATAAAGTTTCAGCTGAGCTCTTTCACTCAAGCTTACTCTAATCAGGCTGGTATTTCAAGCATCTAGTATGAGAAAGTAATGTTTCCTGAGCTGAATTAAACTCACATTCTCTGACACTGCATTTCCATCATTGCAACTAGCTCCTACACAGTCGATTTCAAATGATAAGTAATTACTAGAAACTCACACTGGCAAACAGAGCTCCTTAGCTTCAAGCACAGTTTGGAGTGTCTTGCTGGAATAAGGGTAGCTGGGGAGAGTTGTCTTCTGTAAGGTTCTGTGGGGCAAAACAGGAGCTTTGCTTTCATGAGTTTTAGGAAGTACATAAGAGAGAACAGATGCCTTTAAGAGAATAACAAGCTTCATATTTCTAAAGGTCATGCCAGTGTCCTCTTTTGAGTATCAGTACCTCTATATCTCAGCTAGTAACAGCAGAATTTTTTTATACGTGTGAAAAAATGTTGTTTTTTTTTTTAATCATAAGTTATGAGTTCTTCTTTTAGTAATGTCTGCTTTCCATGCTTCCATTTATTGGTTAAATCGATCACATGTGGCTGACAGAATACCTGAAATTATGGATATCTTCTTAATGACTTGGCTCGTGACAAATGTATCCCGGCAGCCTTAACTTCGAGCAAGCCGTTTTTGCTTGGAATTCGTTTAGTTTGTTTCCCGTGGGACATGCAGTACTGTGAGTTAGCGGACGGAAGGCTTTGGCTGCGGAGGGTTTATCCCCGGGGCTGAGCTGCAGCGAGCCCGCAGCCCGGCTGGGAGGCGAGGGCACAGCAGCGGGCACCGCTGGCATCCTGCTGCCGGCTGCTGGTGGATGCAAAAACTGCCGGCGCTGCCGGGAATTCCACTAGCACGGCTACAAATGGGGTTGTCTGAGGAGTACACACCATCCAAATGCAGGCTTTTGAAATGTTTTGCTCTCTCTTTAACGCCCCCGTGAGCGTGTGGTTTATTCAGAGCACGCTGGGTCTGTGGTAGCTGGTTGGAAAAGAGGCTGGAATGGTTTTTGGGCAGGTCAGGTCTGTAGGTCAGCTGTGACTATTATCCTTGTCACTGTAGAGTGACGATCAGAGGCCGGTGCTGCTGGGAGCAGCAGTCTCATGAGAAGCTCTTGACTGACAACGCTTCAACTTGCAGACCCTGCTTAACTACAGTTGCAACTAGAGGGAAGGAATTTTTGCCTGATAAAGAGCTACAGGATCTTCCCCAATCTCATCTTATTTCCAAGCAAAGAAGCTTCAGCCGATGCTAAAATATTTTGCTTAAACTGTATAGACGGTATTTATTTCTAAAGAATAGGCACATGCAATTTGAAAAGTGAAACAGCTTTGTAGTTATGCTCATACCTGATATATGATATGCAGTCAGTAACCCAGGTTACTTCTGTGAATGTCAATTTTGCTGATAAAAAAATGCTGTATAAGAAAAAAGAAAAGTATCTGCTTTTGTTGCTTGTAATTCCTGTTTGTTTTGGGTGTTTTTAACAGTAGCATAAGTAAATAAATAGTCTCGCTTTCATGCTGTTGTTGTTGTGTGCCATGTGCCAAGTTTGAACTTACAGCTCATATTCAGGGCCAAGCTTAAATACCTTAGTAGTGGCCCTTTGAAAGGGTCATGCTGATACAGCCTAATCCCAACCATGACCCTCTCAAAGGGCGCTGCTAAGGTGTTTAAGCTTGGCCCTGAATATGAGCTGTGTGTATGCCACTGCAGTAAAGGCAAAATTAAAAAATATTCTGGTTTTGTTGAAGATAAGAATGTATTGATATAAGAAATAACCTTTGTTTTTCTAATCTTACAGAGTAATATTTGCATCAACATTTTCTTTAAATGAAATGATAAGAAAGAGTTAATAAAAAACCCCATTAAAACTTAAGGATAATTCAATTTGATTCAATACCATTTTTATTTGGAGAAAGCTATGCATATGTTCCAAATATTGCTGTTAAAGACAGGTCCCTAATTTATCTGTTACAGGTAGATATCTCCTGCAAGTGAGCCAGGATTTCCAGTTGGTTAAATTAGTCCATTTTGTGTTTATATGTATTGTAGAGAAGGTTTGTAGAAGAAAGAAGAAATTTTGTGGAGAAAATCTTTCTTTCTGAAATGAGGAAACTAATTATTGATCCAGATTTGCACTCAGTTCCTGAAACCATTTTAAACTCTTCATTTTCCAAATATTTAAATTTTTAAAGTATATTAACTTTAAGAGTTACTTCCATGTTGCACTAGTGTTTATTAAATCTATTTACATTTCCTTCTCTTGACAGTGGGATGTTCTATGATGGAAATCATACTTACCTTATTGAACCAGATGAAAACTACACTTCAGATGTAAGTAGAATTTACAGGAGTTCTGCTGTGTTTTTTGAGTACAGTCATCCAAGGGTGCAGGGTGGGCATAAGGCTGTGGGACCAAAGGGTCATCCCCTCATTCCCAACTCATTCACCTCGAATGTGAGACTCCATCTTCACAGACAAAAGCAGACCTCCAAAAATCAGGCATGTCCATGTGTGCGTGCTCTGTAGCACTTGGCTGTAGAACACTGCAGCTCTAGAGGAGGGTCCCTTGGAGCCAGCAACAGAATCCTGTGAGTGCCCAGTCCCCTCCTCTGGCACTCCCTGCTCTGGGTTTGTTGTACCACTCTCCTCCTGGTTCATCCCTCACTCCAGTTCAGCAGCTCCTGGGACTCTCATTGACTCGCCCTGAGCAGCTCAGGGAGCTTAATTTAGGCCTAGCTCTGTGTGCTCAGCCCCTGTATTTGAGGTACTCTGATATAAAAAGTGATTAAATGTGGCATTAGCCATCACATTGCAGTTGGGAAAAGAAAAACGTAGCGTAATGGTGCCTTGCAACTTGCATGTTCACTGGTGAATGTGTTGGGTAACACGAACCTTAGGAATTCTGTTTAATCTCATGAGATGGATTAATTTTTCCTGATGTAACATGCACAATTATTTACTATTTCAGGATGACTTCCATTCCCACTCTGTTTACAAATCCAAGTTGTTTGAATTTCCTTCAGCCGACCTGACATCTGGTATGATTTTTTAATATTTATGACTTATTGAGTGTTTTGGTCTAAGGCCAAATTTGTTTATTATATTTGATAGATCATCTTCTGAGAGTATATTGTTTTGTTATATATACCTTCTTTTACCCAATTAAATAAAAAAACCACTGAAAAAAACCCTATTTTGAACAGTGAAAGCACAGGAAAAGAATCTGAAGTGATGTGAAAACTCTGAAACCAAAGAATGAAACCTCTCCTAGACCTTCATGCTGTGACACGTGTTTCTCATAACAGGTCATGTGGTCTGTGGGCTGGATTATGTGCTAGTAGTTGTAGAGAGGAAAGGAGTGAGGTAGCCTAGAGGTGTGAAAATAAACACCACGGTGATGGTGGTTGATAACTCTTCACAGGTTTTCCTGTTTTAAGATACAGGGTGAGTACCATGGAGTGAACATGAGCCTGGGAGACAAGAAGTTGCCAAACATCATTGCAGTTCAGTGACTCTCATCTGCAGTCTGATCAGCATCTTTCATAGCACTGGCAATGATGAGGGCCATGCATTTCAGTGCAAAGGAATTTGGAGGCAGAAGTGGTTTCAAGTGCTTGTAGTGATGAATGCCCATATTGTGTGTGGAGGGAGAAAGATTTTTAAAAAAAATTGGTTTTCATCTGGGAGGCTGGCTTGTTAATTGAAGCTGAAATTGCAGTATTTATGACATATCCCCATTCTGTCAAGGATTTGCCAGTTTTACAGATGCGTTTTCCTGCTCTACAACACATATCCTAGATAAATATAACTGTCCTTCATAGACACTGACATTTTGGTAGAAACTACCTCCAGATTAAATTCTTCAGGAGAGTTTGGCTGTCTTCTTACAATCTATTTGTCTTATGATAATGTTTGGATCTGAGATCTTAGGGTGCTGAGTACTGCAGGCAGATGGGTCCATCCCTGGAGCACAGTTTGTGCAGGTTTGCCAGTTGTTAAGCAAAGTAGAATCATTCATGGAGCTAATGAGAAAAGAAGAAAAGAAAGGAAATTGCAACAGTTAGGTTGCCTTAATCTCAGTTCCAAAGAAGGAATATGTCAAAATCTAAACAAAAACTGTCCCAGCTTGATGTCTCCTGTCCAGTGATGATGATTGCCCAAAGTAGAGGCAACATTGGGATGGAGGGACATGAACACAAAAGGCTCATGACTTTTGTGCAAGGCATTGACCTCTGTTACAAAACTTCCTATGTACCTGCACATTACATATGTACCATGCTTACTACCTGTGCTTGCAGAGAGGGTAGTGTAATGAGAGCAATTTAATGAACATGAGGTCAAATAATAAAGGGCATCATTTATCACATTTTCTTGAGGGCATATAATTCAAAAGATTGGAAATAATGCAACCAAGGCTGAGTTTAAAATAAATCTGTCTCAGGTTGTCAAACTAAGACACTGCTAGTGTTGGTACTTACTATCTATAAGATGTTTAATAAGATTTCCTAATAGTGAAATTTTATGTTTTCAAGATTTTGGAATAAAATTGTTTTCTGCTTTTGAAATTATGAAAAGAGTTTAATTGCAAGTAAATGCCCCAGTTTCACCTCCACCAAAGTGTCTTTCAAAAAGTCTTTCAAAGTGATTTTCAAAAAACTGTCAAACTAGGGCTTCACAGTCTTATTTTGTTTATTTATTTTTCCCACAAAAATCAAGACATGCTTACACAGTTTTGATTTTACTATAGATAACAAATAAATAGTTACTGGCTTTGCTGAACAAGCCCAGCATGTGACGTAATGGAACACGTTGCCGTCTCGATTACAGAAAATGAAAATGTTAAAAAGGAAATTCAGTTGCAGAGTGCTAGTCTTCTCAGTTGTGCAAGTATTTGTAATGTGGATAAGAGGTACAGGGTATTAATCTTCCATCACTTTATGCTTAGGATCCCATGTATGGAGAAATAGACTTTAATTCGCAGTCTACTCTCCCACATGCCCATACTTGTTTTTGTAAAATTGGTTGAAAAGGTGTTTCTGATATTTGTAGTGAAAATTACAGTATATGTATAATATTATATCCTCATTAGGAAACCCACCATTTTTCTTTGTCTGTGATTATTCAATTTGTCTCTGTCTGTAAGTCACCCTTCCTGCATAGTCACAGCTCCAGAGGATGAGAACTCCACCAGTATCTCTGCTTCTTCCCTGCCAGTCTGGAGGGGTCTGACTGCTGTCTTGACTTGACTTTTTCTTCTTTAAATAATATTTGCAATTAATTGCTATTAGTATTGTTGTGCTTGATTTTTTTGAAAGTACTACAACAAAATTATTATTAGCATTAGAAAGCACTGTGTTGGCATGTCATCATAACTACTCTCATAGTTTATCAATTTGACTGGCCTAAGGAGATTTTCCGTGAAGCCAAGATTTTTCTCTTCTATTTAGAAGAGTCTGTGTGTAAGGTAAGATTTCCACTCAGCATTTCCACTGCATTAGGAATGAACTGGATAGGTCACCAGCTTCAATACTGGTGTTAGAAAGGGAAAAAATTAAAGTGATAGGGATTACTCAGTATCAGTGATAGTAAAAGCACACGCTATTATATCACGGTTCAATAGCAATGTACTTCATACATTCTTTTGCTCCCTGGGTATTAAAAAAAAACCCCACAAGCTGCAAATAATTAATAGTACTGTATTTTGCAATGGTCTGAGGAATAATGAGGATTCTAAATAAGGAAGCTTGGACAGATGACTTGGCACACTTAGTGCATTTGAGTTTGTATTTACTAGACTGTTTTTTTCACAATCTCTGTTGAGATCTACAATGCCCTGGCATGGTTTTAGATAACAATATGTTATCAAAGGTGGTGTTTTTCAAATAATACATAACAGATGTCCTTTTCTTTTGGGATCACATGGAAAATATGTAGATACGACACTTCGGAATGTGGTTTAGTGGGGCTTGGCAGTAGTAAGTTTATGGTTGGACTCGATTTTAGTAATCTTTTCCAACCAAGATGATTCTATGATTTTGTGAATCTTCATTACATTTTTTCAAGGTAATATATCCCCATCAAAATATCTGCTAGGCTCTCTCAACTATCAACATTCCCTATGATTTTGCTGGTTGTGTTCTTTTGCCTGAGGGTCCTTGGCTGGAAATGCAACCTGTGTGTTTTTATCCATCTTGTGAGTTATAAGGCAGTGTTAATGTGTCTTAATGTGTTAATGGTAATTGGTTCCCCTAGAGATGACTGACTTCCAAATGTGGGTTGAATAATCACATTTGCTGGTAAAGTTAACTGAGACCCTATATACATACTGTAAATTATTATTTTATTTATTAAAAAATATATTATTTACCAGTTTCATTATGTATGTTATAAAACCAAAAATGACAGGTTGAGATCCAGTTTTGTGGCACTAGAACAGAATCTAAAAGCACAATCACAACCATTGTAGAAAGGTTTTCAGGATTTAGTTTCTCATCATTGCAAGCTCAAGAGTCTGGAGGCCTATAGGTAATAAATAAGGAGCTTGGGTATGATTTAATTTATCCTTGTTAGTTTTTCTAAAAAAGTCCTCAAGTGAATTGGTGTAACCATGAAAACATTTTTGAAGCAGAGAGCCTATGATTGTCCAGGTTGCTCCATACCAAAATGACACTATAGTTCCTGATTTACCCAAGATAATACCAGTTTGTCATGCTTTGTCTTCCAGGTTTGTCTTATTAGTAATTTGCCACTCCTGGTTAAGATTATCACTTAGGCCTGGCAATGTCTTGTCAACTCAGCTTTGTGTTTTAAGATTTTGCTGCTATGGCAGCCCCGACAAATTCCTATCAGCATGGTTTTTAATTATGTTTTTGAACCTCACGCAGAAATTGTACAATTAATGTGCAGCAGGAAGTGAAGCTGCGAGAAACTTTCCTGTCTCACCAGCAAAACTGAACTGGTCAGGAATTTGTAAAACAAGAAGAGATTGTGTACAAAGATATGTGAACTGGAAGTCCCTTAATTTACACAGCTCCATCAATCCTATAGCACTATAGGGGTGCTCTATAAACACTATAGGACTATTTCCTTCTTTGCATGACTGGTAAAATCACTGGAACACTTAAAGAAGTTTTCAGTTTCTTGATACTAAAAGATGTCCAAAGCTGCAGAGAGCACAAAAGAGGGAAAGCAGTAAAAGGAGAAAGACATTATCACAAACTGCAACTGCAACTTTTTTATTACAAAAGCGACTACAAACATTTAATTTGCATAAATCAAAGAAAGATCTTCTTGAGGTTATGCGAATAGCAAACACATTTTTATATAAGATAAGGAAAGAGCTTTATTCCATATAGGGAAAAGAGAGACAGGGACTGTGAATCTAAAATTAAAGATGGAAAATTTCTTCTTAGACATATGAAAAGGTGAGAGCAAGTGTTGTCTTCTGCTTAGTTTATGACGTGTCCTTTTCCATGAGGGGCTAGATTTGGTGAAAAGGATTTGGCAAAAGAAAAAACTACTTGATGCTTATGATTAGAGGTTTAAGAAGTTAAAGACACAGAAGGATTAGCAGGGAGGAATATTGTGTTGGTAAGTGAGCATTGCCAAAATCTCGTAATGTTTCTCCCAACTCTGACCTATTTTCCTTTGTGAATATAATCGTCTTAAAGCATTAATTCTGCCTTCCATGCTCTTCTTATTAATTTAGGTAGCTATTGCAAGAGCTCTGTGGATGTCTGCTGAATTCCCATAAATGTGAATCACTCCATGGAAGCACTATGCTAATAATATTTCATGCCCAGTATTGGTGAAGTTTTGGCATAGAACACCTGCTGTGCTTTCTGAAGTGTGGCACCCACAGATCATCTGTTTCAACAGACCCAGATTATCACTAGTAGAGTTTTTGATAAGAGCCCTGTTATTGGGAAGCATGTGTAGTCTTGCCTCCCTTCTAGCTGGAAACTTGAAAAAATGAGCTGTTGCTGCATTTGCATGCTGAAGTGCTGAAGAATGCCATACTACTGTCATGTTGCATCAGGGTCACTAATTGCTGGGCTATATTTTTGTAAATATTCATGTATTTGTCTGTGTTTTCTGCTTAGAGTTCTGGCAGATGAATACTACATCACAGAATTTTGTTGTAAGGCCAAGACACAAAAGAAGGAAAAGGCAGGTATGTGCCAACGTGCTTGTTTATAAGGAATATGCCATCAAGTTTGTTTCATGTCTACTGAGTTAATTTGTCCAGATGGGATCCTGCTGCTCCTGCTGGTTTGGCATGAGATCTCTATATCAATACAGCTAATACCAAAAGAAGTATCTAATGTAAGCTAAACATTGATTAGCTTGTCCACTGATTGTCCAAGATTGTCTTAGACATTGCCTACCTGAAGAGTTAGGAAATTTTAAAATACTGCTACATTGCAAATGAAAAAGTAGGTAAAATATTTTTGTTCATTTTGAGCATAGTTTTATCAGAAACTCCCCAGAAACTCCCATAAAAAAATCTATATATTTTTTAATGCTGCAATAGTGACAAATAGCTAGTTTATCTCACTTTATTTTGTTTTAAAATAAATATTGTAAACAGAGACTTCATTCCCTGTTTATTAAAGTGGGGAAGCCACTAAGTGCAGATGTTTGTTACCAATTACACTCTCTCTGTATTGTTAGACTCTCTTAGAGTTACATTCTCTCCATAGGTTCGTCAGATTCCACGTAAAGTTGAAGAGGAAACAAAATACATTGAGTTGATGATTGTAAATGATCATCTAATGGTAAGACTGACACATTTCAGCATCTTGCAATTAGCATCAAATGATCTTGATTTATCCAGAGAGCATAACAATAAAGAACACTATGAGGCCAGAATAAATTCAGTATGTCCTTAATAGAAGAGATTATGGTCTCATTAACCATTGATGAAGTTGGTTTTGAATTATGGCAAGTTAATTTCACCAAGAATGCAGCTAGGCCTGAGGATCAGAAAGAAAGATCAGAAAGTAACTAATGTCAGTGTGACTTAAGCTGATGATTTTCTTTCTGGCTTTCCTGAACATTTGTCTTAGTTACAGGCACTCAGCAATCCATAGTGCAGTTATTTCAATTGTGCAGCAGCTGTTGAGAATGGAGAGATTAACAGTGACTAGGCTTTTTTCACACGTCCCAATCAACGTAGAGAAAATTTTGTTAAACTTTTCTCCTTGCTCTGGGAGAATACAGTGGAGTTTTTAACATAGTGGAAAGAGACATAATAACCGTGTATTGAAGAAAAGCCAGACTCATTCAAGTGGGAAAAAGCACAGATTTTTGTCAGTGAAGATGATTTATTAATCATCTGATGAAGGAAATAGCAAATTCCAAATATATACCAATATACCAAAGGAAATGGCAAATTCTTCATCACTTGCAGTGTTCAAAGGTAGCTACAAACACAAACAATGGAATTGCTTTTGAAGTAACTGGATAAAGTTCAGCCCATTAGTGCCCATCCAACTGGTGACATTAGATGAATTTGTGGCTTTCAAGTCAAAATATTTTTATGAATCTTGTCTACTTCTTCTGTCATGTGCAGCAATTCTCTCATGCAATACCTGAACTGGCAAAAATGAACATGAGAGTGTACAAGTGTACAAGAAGTGTGCCACTGTCCTTAGTGTTCTCCTCCACCAGCTCAATTTGGTGAACACAGGAATAAATTCTTGGATTAAAACTAATAATATTGGATGAAAATTCCTTAAATAAGTGTAACTGTGTTTGATCCTAAAGACCTGAAGCCACAACGTTTCCCTTGGATCCTATCTGTTCAGGCAGATTTTCTTCAAGGCCGATATTTCCTAATTTTGTCTAATCACAACGACTGCAAGAGTCAGTCTAGTTAGGAGTTTATTCTCTGAGATAAGTGCCAGTAACCAAAGAAGCCAAAAAATTTCCTCCTGTGAGAAGGAAATTTCATTTGCTGTGGGCATAACTTCCTGATTTTGGTTTATTCCCCCCCATTCCTGTTTGAAAGGATGCCTTTCCTATGCCTTCATTGTGGGAAATTTCTTGCCTACTAAAAGATCCTAACTTTGGGAAAATGCAGAAAATTTTCATTCCAAAATCAAGCATCATGGGGCACAAGATGTTGAAACATTTCTGAAAATCTTGTGCACTTTGCCTTAAATTCTTCTGAGATACCTGTGACTTTCATGCCCATGATGCTCATTCTTAACTCCTTTTTTTTCTGCAAACAGGAGTACCTGGACAGCTGTTTCCAGTGCCATTTTTATAACACTGCATTACAAATTTCAGTAAAGATGCCATTGGAGTCTGATTGCTGAAGTGGTTTGAACCAATTATTGTGACATTGTAGGAGTGTAAAACTATACAAGAAGAAAACCAGAGAACAGCTTAAGAGAGAAAATTGAAAAAAAAAGGGAGTCTGATAGATTAAAACATGAATGCAGGCACTTCTGGGATAACACATCTTAAGGAGTCTCAGCTATGGAAGCTTTTGTTGCTAATTTCTGCATTGGCATTTTTGATTAATTTTAAAATTGCCAACAACAGTGATAATGAAGAAAGTGACAGAATTTTTCTGTTCTTATATGATTTTCCAGTAAAGATCCTAGAGTACTTTCTAAAGACAAATTCATACATCCTCACAACAGCTGTTGTAAAGTGTATCAGTAATGTACATTTCTGAGCAATTTTCTACTATTGGATTTTAGCATTACGCTCAGCACAAGAGACAAAACCTTGCACAGGGGCTTTATTGTTGATATAATCGCTTTTTACTTCATGGTGTTTTGGGAATGGACCTTGTTTTTCTGAAATCTGTTCATGTTGCCGTTCTGTGCTTGTTTCACAGTGTAAAAAGCACCGCTTGTCAGTCGGCCATACCAACAGCTATGCTAAATCAGTTGTGAACATGGCAGATTTAGTAAGTATCACTCAAATATATATGTTCTTTTATGTGTGAGATGAGTCACAAGATTCTCCTGACGATATATGCAGGAGTTGTCAGTTCATGGTATAACAATATAATGCATGTGAAGATTATGTCTGTGAAGAAATTTTCATCTAGAACCATGATCATTCACCTAAAAAGCCTTTGTCTAGCATAAAGCATCAGAGGTGTTTTATTCTGTGACTTTAAACATTTAAGTATCCTGCTGGATTGGTCCCTTGAGTCTGAGTTTTAAAGAGCATCTTAGATATGACAATTTCTAGCACAGGATCCCTGTTTTGACAACTTCAAACCCAAAAGACAATCTGAAATTCTAATGCATTAAAATTTCTCCAGAAAATGTGCACTTGAGTAAACGATTTAGGGACATACAGGTGGATGTGGATTGTATTTATAATGCTAAATCAGACAAGAGCTGCTAGCTTTTGCACCTCACTGCAGAAAAGTATTAGAAAAGTATTACTAGAAGAAGAAAATGTTTGAATGTATTTGATGTGGAGTGATACCACAGCATTGAAAGGATGGCCCTTTTTTGTGATTCAGCCAGGATGAGTTGAAATACTCCTGTAGACATATATAACAGTGAAAAAATATGGCTTTATAGATCATTATTCCACATAAGAGGGCCCTTGTGTGTCATTGGGTGAGCTGGCTGTTATAAAAGACCCATTAATTTCAAATCTTTGAACTATTTGGAATATAGTAGTTTTTCAAAAATCACATTTCTCTCCTATGTACCTCTGCCTGTGTAGACTAAGAAGGCTAAGAGAACTGATTGAAGAATTAAGCCTAAAAATTTGGTTTTACTTGGTTTTTGTGTTTGTTGGTTTTAAGGGAGATAAAATCACCTACAAGAATGTAAAGTGCGCTAGAGTAAGCTAAATATTTAGTTATGTAAAAACGCAAGCTATTACAAAAAGGCGGTATACCTCACCTTTGTTCTATTTGACATAATGTATTTGTTCATTCTGTTAATGCACTAGATATATAAAGAACAACTTAACACCAGGATAGTATTGGTTGCCATGGAAACCTGGGCTACTGATAACAAGTTCACCATATCTGAAAACCCCTTGGTGACTCTACGTGAGTTTATGAAATATAGGAGGGATTTTATCAGAGAGAAAAGTGACGCAGTTCACCTTTTTTCGTACGTAACCTTGTGTGATATTTTATTACTGTTTTTTTTTCTTTCCTTGGGGCTTGCTTTTCACAAGTGGCTGATGCATCTCCTTTCTGTTGTGTGTGTAATCCACAGTAATTCAGAAAATAATGTTTTAGATGGGGAGGTGGGAAAAAAATAAATGCACAAGCTGGCTGCAAGTGCAACTAGAGCTCTGACTCTTTTTTAGTTTTAACATAATAAGCCTGAGCTGCGTGCGCTGTAATCCTTTGTTATTCTGTGCAATCACCTACTCCACAAGTGCAGCTATCTGAAGAGTCATGCATGGTTCCACCTCAGAGGCTGGCTTCTTCGGCAGTAGAGCACAGATTATTTAAAGGCAGAACATTTGTTTTGAAACCAATGAGGTTTTCTGCTTAAGTGCACTGTGGCCTGCTTTAATTTGTTGAATGACCTGCATGCTACAGGATTACTGAAATGTTTCAGATCCTCAAAACAGTTTGTTCTCCCAAGACATTTGAGCTATAAGAATACTAAACTGAGAGGAATGTAATTTTCTCTAAATATCTTAATAAGATTGATATAATATAATATATTTACAAACATACAGGAGAGATACATGGCTGAGATTTTTGATCCACACAAGACATGCCAGATGAATATCTCTGTTGGAGTCCTTTTTCTCTCTCTGCTGACGGTTTTAAGAGCCTGTAAAAATAAACTTAACCTAAACACCTCACTTCATGTGACTTCAGTAGGGTTCCAGGATACCCAAGCCCAGCATCCACCCTCTGAATTTTTGCACATACTTAATTACTGCCACTGATTTCTGCCTTGAAGAAAGCTAGTAAGAGCTGCAAGTGGTGCTTGAAGATTTTGGTTTCTCTGTGTCTCAGATCTTCATCTCTTAAATGGGAATCATGTTTTCTCATATCCTTCGTGTATCTTCTCTGGTGACATTGTAAAGTCTTTGTGGGGGGAGGTCTGGTTCTTGTGAATGTGTGTGGATTGACTAGGACAAAAGAGAGTCCAACTTGACCTGTGGCTGGGACTGGATATCACTGCAATGCTACTTCCAATGCTATCCATAGCACCAGCACCAATGATATTTGTGGTATTGCATTCATAGATAGTTTAGAAACAGCAGTTTCTGAAATTGTGTCTGTGAGTGAAACACAGTTCTGTTGGGAGGTGGGGGGGAGCTGATGTGATGGTACAGTGGTTACAAATGAGCTGCCACCTTTAGCACAGTTAGCTCATTGTGATCCTTCTTGATGCTTTTCTCTCCTCATCTGAGAAAAATAATTTTCTGGATGGATAAGTACTCTCAGGTGAACCAGGGTATATTTTGTCTCCAGTAACTGGCAGTCATTCATGCTGATGTGGTCAGCACCAAAGAGGTGATTAGATTTAGGCTCTGAATGCATCTGTAGGAGTTTTCACCTACCTCTGCATCTTCTGCTAATGCATCTCCCCTTGAGTTTTACCACATCAGCACTGCCCAATTAGGCACGTGTCGTTTCACTAGCCCTGTGCGTGGTGGCCTCTCCTGAACTCTGCCTGGAGCATGTGCCAGTGGAAGGCACTCGCTGCAGTAGAATGTCAGGAAGAAAGAGGCTGGGCAGATCCAGGTGGTTTGGCAAAATAGTCCCCTTCTTCTTATATTAGGTAGTCTGAAAAGGAGGAGGGAAGATGGTATAAGTTTTCTGGAGATAACTTGTCATGTGAGGTTTGTGAGTGCTTATCTGGTTTTCCTATCTGTTTTTGCATAGTTGGCAGCATAGTGGTGGCATCCAGCATTTACAAATGCCAGCTTCTCATTTGGAGATCAGAAGGGTAGATACTGGAATAGGCAGGTGCTAAACTCATGGGCTGAGCAGGGTAAACTTTTTCTTTTCATTTTTGTCAAAGGGGGAGTCGATTTCAGAGCAGTCGAAGTGGTGTAGCCCACACTGGTGGAATCTGCTCCTTGCTTAAAGGCGGAGGTGTGAACGAGGTAGGTGGGGGGTATGGTATGAGCAAAAAGTGTTGGAAATTTATCTCCATGGAATTTATCAGTGCAGACATGTTCCTCAAAATATTTTGCTTTTTTTTGCTGATGTAGAATATTAGTGCAGCTCTATAAAATTTCACACTTCAATGAAGTGTTGAGTGAATGAAGTCAATACACTTCAAATACACTTTGAAGCAAATTCTGCAATATCCTGTCATTCATACTTCCAGCTACAATTCCAAGAGAGAAACAGACTTTCTCTTACTTAGCTTGTTTATAAGCCACTGTTTAGTTTTCATCTATCTACCCTGAAGTAAGAATTTTGACACTGTGGATCTGATTTTGCCTATTTTTGCCATGATATGAGAAAAGCTTCACTTGAATCTGAGATACCTGTGTGTTAGTGATTACTTTTCCTACCTTGCTTGTTTCTTGCAGTTTGGAAAGCCAGACTTAATGGCAGTTACCCTGGCACAGACTTTGGCCCAAAACATTGGCATTTTCTCAGACAGAAGAAAACTTCTAAGTGGTAATTTTATTTGCTTTGTCACTCTGTCTCAAGAGAAAAATCTTAAGAAGTGGAGGATCTTATCAGTGTCTTTCTGATATGTACTTTTTCCTTCTGTTTCTCACAATGTTGAAACATTTTTATTTCTTGCAGTAACATGAGAAGGGACATAATAATTTTCCTCTATTTGGATGCTCTAGAACCCCCCTGCTTGTAATTCCTGACTGGTGCCACCATTCCATCCAAAATAGACCATAAAGGTGCCTGCCACTTCCATTCATTTCAGGGGGACTGGTGTCCCACCCACAGACCAAATGGCTGCCATCTTATGACACAAGGGTGGGAATATACATTATTAGATCTGGGGATAATGAGGAGCCTCTTCAGTACTGTTATATAGAACAGTTTTAGCAATACAGCTTTTTATCTGTTTTCCTTGATTGATTGCCTTTTGTAGATTATCCAAATCCTCTGTTTTTCCTGTAGATTACCCAAATCTCCAGTATTTGCTACTCTACTGCTACCATTTCTCTGCTATAACCTTGGTATTCAGCTAGTTATCCCTGTTTACCTGCAATGCCTTAATCTCCACCATTGTGCCCACAACAAGCACCTCACCTTCCTGCTTCTGTGTTACATGAAGTCCCAGATTGATATGGTTAAAACAAAATACAGTTTTGAAACAATTTCGATAATGAACTGGAGTGCAGATTTACTGGATTGTGCTTGCTTACGTGGCTTGTGTTTAAAAAGATAAATTACTCTATCTGTTGGAGGATTTTTTTTTTCAGGCATTGCAAAAACAATATATAATGCAGAGATACATCCGCATTTAAAGGGGTTTTGTTTCAGATTATGTAAAACTATTTTTAAAAATACTCAGAAATGTAGGACAGATGCTCTATCCTACAGATACGCTCAGTATTCATTTTCCAGCCACATATTTTTGAGTGGATGTAGGAGCAGGGTAAAAGTGAAAATTATAATAGTGGTGATTCCCTTTCCTTATGGCTGAGAGGAGCAGGATACTGTTTTGGTAGGGAGAGAGAAGAATGCAATTGTTAGACAGAGATTTCCTTTCTAATTGTACTTTTAAAATGGAAGCAATAAACTGATATTCATGTGTACAATAAGAGAAGTTATGGAACATGTAAGTGGAAAGCATTTCTACTGAAATTTAAGCAAGACACAGCTTTGGAAGAGGAGGATTGAGACCAGAGGAAAATGATCCCATCTGGCAGGGCAGAAGGGAGTTGCATGAGGAAGGGAGGGAGGGAGGGAGAGCAGAGGAAGAAGCTGATTGATTCTGCTATACTACCTTGTGTTCATTGATCATTCCATGCTTTTTAAATTTTTTTAAAATCCGAATTATTGTTTGGGGTTTTTCAAGGGAAGATTTTAAAAGTACATTACCATAGTTGAAGAAGAGAACAAAAAAAAAATAGAAAATTAAAATTATTCTTTGTTTTAAACTCTGAAAATTTGGGAAACGAATAGCAACACACAGGAAAAGATGAGAAAGCTGACTGATGATTTGCAAGTGCTGAAGGCTAACACTGCAGATTTCTTTAAGAGAAAGAAAGAAAAACAGGACATATTTTCAAAGCTCAGGATTGCATAGAACCATGTAGAGTTTTAAAAAATTTTGGCAAGGTGCACTGATACACTTAAACTAAGGTTTGCAATAAACTAGGAAATTATTCTTTTCAACTTGTGCTTTTTTATGATAAGAATGATATTATTTTGGACTCACAAGACTTGAGATGTAACTTTTCATTTTATCTTCTCTTTTTTCTTGTCAGGTGAGTGTAAGTGTGAGGACATGTGGTCTGGATGCATAATGGGAGATATGGGGTAAGACATTTCACTAGAGAAAAGTCATGTTCTTCATACAGTGACATAAAGGAAACGTGTGAAAAGTTTTCTCTTTGGCGGTTCAGCAGAATATTTTTGATGACTCAATTTTCAGAAAGTAAAGTATTAGGTATATACCATACAGAGACAACTTCAAAGAAATGTGAGAATAAATGAGTTCATGGGAGGGGCATGTGAAGATTTTTGATGAATGCTGATTTAACTTGGAAAGCACAAGGCTTTCCAACAGTCAAGCCAGGTCATTGCAGAGAAGCAGAAGCAGGCGTAGCTTATTTTCTCATGCAAGTTTGCTACTGAGTTGTGGAAACAATGACACACCCTAATTCTTGAAATTCCGTAGTTGAATTTCTGAGGCATGTCTCATTTTCATGTTTTTGTTGGAATCTTTAATCTATATCATTTTTTATCACGCAGTTTGTGTGATATTGTTAGAAAAACTGCCCCCATTGGAGGCTGAGTATGTTCATACTCATGTGTAGTGTCATTGGAGAGATTTTTATATAATGACTGGTGAACCAGCAAATTTTTGCTGCTGGATGAAATTTGATGCTTTCTGAAGTATGTTCAGACTCTAACACTTTTTATTGCAGGCATGCCTTTTATCATGCATATAAATTACATTCTAGTCTAGTTTTAGATAGGAATTACATTGTATTCTAGTTTTAGATATAGACAGGCTCAGTTTTTAAATTAATTTTGAATAGATCCACAAATTTTCACAATAGCCTTGTGGTCAGAAAAATTTTGAACAAAGAAGTATGTTCATTCAAACCTCTTTGAAAGTGTGAATGTGTGCCCTATTCACCTTAGTATATCTGAGAATATGCCTGATACGGTTTTTCTGATTTTTAGTGAGTTTAAAAGCCAATCTGAGAGGCATTTTTAATTCTTACAAAAGTTATTAGGGCCTTTAAATTCTTTACCTGAATTTCAAACTTTTCAAGTATTTTGATACATGATAAAGCTTTGTATTTGCCTAGCTTATTGCTAGGTGACATTTTGGTGAAATCCATGGCCTCTGTAGTGTTTAGACCTAATTCAATGAGCGTTACAGATGGAAAAACCCAATTATGTTTTGGAAGCTATCTCTCCCAGCAGTGCAGGATAGCACTTTGGCTAATATTTCTATATCCAGTGGTGAGCTGATAGAGGAAAGCCCTTGAGACTACAAAATCTTCTTGAAGCATAAGTACTTTAATGACTATGGACCTGAATATAAAGATCACTGCATTTGCCTTGGGAAAATTATTTCCCTGTGGAAAGGATCCATGCAAAGATTCTCTGCATCACATTGTTTTTAGGTGGGTCATTGTGCCTCAGGGGCTGTCTGTGCTCAGCTGAAATTTACTGAGTGGGACACATGACAGAGGGAAGCTGAAATATTAGTTGGTGTTTGTTAGAATCATGTTTAAAATGGCATAACTCTATTATATAAAAATTCTGGGGGTCAGGGGAACCATTTCTAAAACAAACAAATAAATTATAAGCTGTCTCCTGCAGTTTGTATGGGAGGAAAGAAATGTATGTCTGAGATGAGGCCTGTTATGACATGCTTGTACAAACTACATACTGTAATCAGATTTGTGCTGTTTGGCATGGAAAAACTTAGTGAAATGTTCTAGACTTCTCACATTCCATGAGCTCTGTGTCATTGTTGGAATTTCCTTATTATTTACTAGAAAGATTTTCCTGCCAGATTAGATAGACTTGCAAACAGATAGTCACCCCAATTCGGAATGTTTTCATTCTTTTTCTAAAGTATAACATTAAATGTCTTCTGTTAAAAAAAAAAATACTGTATAAAAAGCACCAAAGAAAGTAATCTTTCTACTTCATTCTGTTAGGTACTATCTTCCAAGCAAGTTCTCTGAGTGTGATATTGAAGAGTATCATGAATTTTTAAACAATGGAGGTGGAGCCTGTCTTTTCAATAAACCAACCAAAGTAAGCATTGCATTATTGTTAGATATTATTTCTATTCTAGTGCTAGTTTTGATGAAACCAAGAAAAATGAAAATTATAGTGTTGGAAAAAACATCTGTAGTTTTGATAGTTCTGGTTCCTCCTAAGCTCTAACTGTTCTGATAACCTATGGATGTAGATTATTATGGAAGTAGATTATTTTAGTTCATAGTAGTTTAGAAAATACTTTTAAATAAATTTCTAATAAAATGGTTTCATGTCCAGTAGAGTATCCACAGCCTCTGATGGAGAATCATCCCTCACAGAATTTGTTCTGAATATCGTAAATACAATACAATTTTGTATTTACAACAGGTCTGCAATGGAGGATTTGCAACAGTGTTTTGATATATTCCTGCTCCGTTTACTGAAGCATGTGTTAAAATGTAAAGCAAGCAAGATAAGGATCTTGACTCTTTTCTATATATAATTAATGTTAACCTATATTTAATGGCTGTCTTTCAACAAGCAAAGGAAAGAGGCTAAGGCAGAAAGACAGTCCAATGTGGAAAAAAGACTTACTGGTAACTGAAGTGGTCACAGATGTAAAAGAGAAGAAAGTCAATTGAGGAGTGATGCATATTCCTTCTGGTGAACCTGAGAAAAAAATGCATCTTCTGACAACTACAGAATTTAAATAGAAGTTAAAGAAGGAAGGAGAGAACATAAAATCTGGACAAGCTGAGCCTGCTTATCTCTTAGAGGTCTCTTTTGATGAAAGAGTAGATGATTAAAAATGGAGAGAAAGCACTGTAATTCATTAATGTATTTAAAATGTCTTATTTAGAATGTACCTGAATTTTAGAAGTTTGCTTTTTCCCATCTCATTAAAGGTGGAGAGAAATGCTGGTAGATTTATTTACTTGCCAAGTGTATTGTTTATATGGTGTAATATGTCTTACTTGGTTTTATTTTAGTGATTGTGTTCATTTACACATCTGTCACTTGGAAAAAACCCCAATTACTCTCCTTTCAATTTCGTTTGGCAGCATTTTAGTTTTTTTTTTTTGATGGCATGCAGAAATGTGAATTAGATGTGGAAGCCAGGGTGATTTAGTCGCTTTTATGTGTTGTGGTTTGGGTTGGTTTAAAGGTTTTGTCAATGGATGTCTGTCTAATTAACAAAGCTGTCAAAGATGTGTTTCCTAGCAAGGATGGTGAGACATAATTTTTTTGTTTTTCAAGCACTATGAGATAAAGGAAAGCTGATGTGACAAGGTGCAGTGTTTGGCAGTTCTCCACTCTTATATCAGCTATAATCCCAAAAATTACATCAATGGCTGCTGGAGCAGACTGAACATATGCTCTTTTCAAGTGAATGGATGAATGATATGACTTTGGGGAAAGGTTATCAAATTTGCTTGTAATGTTTGGTTTTATTCTTCAGTTTTGTTTTTAGCTGTCCCTGTGTACTGCAGTAAATTGACCCAATATTTCAAGGCAGAATGCTCTGTTACTGCAGTCTCCTTGTCTCTGTTGTGCAGCACACTGAGAGATATTGAAGAAGTTAAGATGTCCAGAAAAATACATAGGAAACAAGCAGTTTTAACATATTTTTAATAATTCTAAAGGCTTATATAAATTTTATGTTAAATTCTACATATACATTGCATGCTGCAGTCCAATTTCCATTTCAATAGGAGATCTAATAATAGCACATCAGCCTGTGCCAGGCTGTGGTTTGTGAAGTGCGTGGGGTGATGCTCCATCCTGTGGGCTCCTGACAGAAAGGCAGCAGCCAGTGAGAAATGCTCTACACTGTGTATGATGTACTTGTGCAGATGGCTCAGGAGCAGAGTCATTTTGGAATGGTCCTAGTTTAATTGGAGAACTCGAAGTGCAAAATTTTAGCCTGGTGACACACTTAAATGCCTTCTCATTTATGTAATAAAAGCTACTATTATATTTTCTTATGTCCAAAGGAAAAAAAAATATTTTCTTTTAGAAGAACTACCTTTAAAAATTTTAGGAAGACGGAAAAAATTAAGCTGGAAAGAACAAAGTGTAAGTGTCGCTTAGAAGAGGTTATGGCATACAAATATACAGATTTTGATCTTTTAAGTTACAGTCCAATGGGAAGGCTGAAAGGAAAGGGAGGAAGCCTCATCAGCAATACCTCTTGTGCACATCTGCCTGTGATACATACTTAGAGAAACTTAGATACAATTTATATACAACTTGCATACTTATATACAACTTTTAGAAACTTATAGAAAACTGTGGAAAGTTCCCAACTGTGGTGGAGGAAAATAGAAAGAAAAATCCAACTGCAATGAAAACTGACAAAAAAACCCTAGCTTCTCTCCTTCCCAAGCATTTCTGAGCCACATAAAAGGACTACTTTTTATGGCTATTACTTCTGAGCTTACAGTGCTGGCTTTAACCTTTCAGCCCTTGTCACTTGAACTCCAGAACAACAGCAATTGCAACCACTGTGAAGATAATCAAATAATAATCAGATAATCAAATGGTCCTATCTTAAAATCTTTTTCCTTTATTGTCACACCTTTTGTTTTTCATTGTGAATTCTGCTCAAACTGCATTTATTGTAAAGCTGACACCTATGCACAGAAGAGACCATGTGACTTGACAGCATTGCTGTATTAATTTTCAGGAGTGTTCATTCTCTGTACCCTTCACTTGTGTGAGTTGTGTCAGTCTGTCTCCCTGAGTCGTGGGTACTGTTTTTCAGTCAACTAGCGCTTGGAGTGCTAGCTTAAAAAGCATGTTGCACAGAGCAAATATGACAATGATTGCCTTAAAAAGAGACACACCCTTTGATTTTTGAATTTCCATGCAGCTTCTGGATCCTCCAGAATGTGGCAATGGCTTTGTGGAAGATGGAGAGGAATGTGACTGTGGGACAATAGCGGTAAGTGCAATGTGCTTTATATTTTCAACTAGACTTGTCCAAGAGTTGGCGCTGCACATTGCTGATGTTAATAAGTGCAGGAAGACAAGTAGGGTGAAGGCTGTGTGCCCAAGGATTCATAGTAATAGCTGCCTGTGCAGAATCAGACCTTCGAAGACATGAAAGAAAGTATTTTCCTAGATGGAAACACTGGTCAATGCTAAGATGTTAGTATTTAATGGTCGAAAATATGAAATTAGAAAAATTATTTTCTATTTTGCACAGGAAGCAGCAGTTTCATGCCCCACAAGCACATGCATTTTTCTCCTCTAGGTACCTAAAGGAATGAATAAAAATCCATTCAGGTAGCGTGTTCAGATGAGAAGTGATAAGAGCTTGGGGGTCATGTGCTTTTCCCATGTATTCTGTTCTGTGTGTGTGTGTTCCTCAGGAGTGTGCCAGCGAAGGAGGAGAGTGCTGCAATACCTGCACCCTGACCGCGGGCTCCCAGTGCAGCAACGGGCTCTGCTGTCGGAAGTGCCGGGTAAGGGCAGTGACCTCCACTGCAGCAGCCTGCTGGGAATGCATCCAGGTGGCTGCAGGCACTACAGCACGTGTGCTTTCCCTTGCAGACCTTGTGATTACTCTTCTGAAAGCTTACCTTTTAAAAGTGGCTGAAATCTGATTTTTCTGAGGCTGTACTCTGTCTTTTAGGCTTGGCTTTTTGGGGCAGGGACTCTCAGCAAATGCAGAGGTAAATTGAATCCTTCCAGTTTCAGGCAAGTTTGAATCAGGTTGAAGTTCTATGAGATCTCATTAGACATCCTTACTTAAAGGATAAATTAACCATAAAGCTTTTGTTAGATGTCCTTGTTTTTTCACTATGAGAATGGTGAGGCACTGGAAGAAGTTGAGAAGCTGTGGATGCCCCATCACTGGAAATGATCAAGGCCAGATTCAATGGGTCTTTGAGCAAGTGGAAGGTGTTCCTGCCCATGCAGTGGTGGTGGAGCTAGATGATCTTTAAGGTCTCTCCCAACCCCAACCATTCTGTCTTTCTGTGAACATGCATATCCTTATCCATGTGCCACTCCCCATGCCATATGTGTTGCTCTGGATTTGCCCCATGAGACTGAATGGGGTAATCATACCACAGAGTGTTTAAGGAAAGGATATAGTAAAAACCACAAAACCCAGCAGAATTACTGAGAAGGATTCATCTAAAAGACACCTGACTTCAGCTTCAATTTGGTCTGCCTGTGTCTCTTTATGTTTGGACTGACTGAAATCCCATTGAGTAAAAGGAATCAAACCCTATGTAAACTGTAAGTTATTCTTCTTGATACATCAGTAAATAGTAAAAGGAGGTTTAACCAGATTGTGGCTGTAAGGGAGCCCTGCTAAATATGACTTCAAATAGTTTGTAGTCATTTAGCAATAAAGATTATTAGTATTAATGTAGTTAGAACTGTGCTGCACAATATGTGATTTTTTTAATCTTTGTCTGTGCACATTTGAGAGCTTAATTTCCTTAGGAGCATCATTAATAATAACTGTGGACCACATTCTTGACTTTGTGCTCATCCTAATGTTAAAAAAAGAAAAAGCACAGATTATGGTGGAACAGACCACATTTCCCTAAGCACATTCCTTTTCTTAATGTAATAATAATAAAAACATCAGAAGACTGCCTGTGTGAATTTTGCTCAAGAATCCAAGTCACATAGGCACCATATTTAAGACTATCAGAACAAAACAAAGCTTTTGTATACCTATCTTATTTTTTTGCAAATGAGAAAAGGGTTTATCTACTTACAGAGTGGTAAGGGTGGGTGAATGAACAGAAAAGTAGAATTTTACAGAACATATATCCCTAGGAGCTGTTTATCAGGACAACTGAAAAATACTGTATATAATAGTTCCCGAACTTGGGGTTACCTTTCCCAGTAACATCCTGCCTTATAGCAGGAGTGAAGGAGGGGTTGCAAACAACACATGGGATTAAGCATTAAGAATCCTGTAGTGTCTTTGACAAGGTTTGTGTCTGTCTGCATTTTTCCAGTGACTGGTAAAAAAAAAAGGGTTAGGGCTGAGAAAATACCAACGTCTAGTTCTTCCACTGATTTGTGGTCATTCACAGCAGCTGTGGAGCTAGCAGTTTTCCCCCCAAAAATGTATGTGCATGCAGATCCAAAAAAAACCCAAAAAAATCTCACAGGCCTGCAAAATGAACTGGGTATTACAGTCTTAAGAAGATTTTGTCTTCTTTTTAAGAAGACTTAAGAGTCTGTAATATGTCCATGACCAGAAACACTACAAATTGCCTCAAATGAGATGTCTTCCTTCTTTTCCAGGTCTTGAGACTTAGCACATAATTCTTTAGCCAAATGTCTATATTAGGTCACTGGTACACTTTTCATTGTTAAATATCCAGTCCCTTAGTAAACGGTGTCAAACTGTACAGAATTCAGTACATTTATTAATAGTTCCTGTTCTCTCAACAACAATGGGAGATTAAAATAACCTAAGTGTTTATACATAGAGCTCTGTGGTGTTCTTCATCCCTAGAGAGAAGATCAGGTTCACTCCTTCTGTTCTGTAAAGAAGAATAAAATAGTCACAAAAAGGCACAGTGACCTGGTAGAATAATGCTGCCAGACACTGCAGATTTTTTGGATGCTCCCAGAGGTCTTCTGTCCCAGGAGAGACTTCTCCTGCTCAGCCCCACAATCCATGCCCTTGGGAGAGGGTGCCTCAGAGAGTGGTACCACTTGCACCAGTAAATGGCTTGAGTGGTGTGGCATACACACCAGAGAAGGGAGAGTCCTCCCACTTGAGTCTGCATGTGAATATTTCCCATTTTTTATTTTAGTAAAACTGTAAGGAAGCAATGCATTTAAGCAAGATATAGAGAAACCATGACACTAATTTTCTGTGGGTTTTTTTCTAGTTTGAACCTAAAGGAGTTTTGTGTCGAGAAGCAGTGAATGATTGTGATATTGCAGAGAACTGCACGGGAAACTCCAGCCAGGTGATTTTTGTGTCTTCTATTCATGAGACAAAAAACCCCACCTGTAATCTCAAAATCACTATGAATGTTTTGTATAGTGTGGTGTATTAAAATGGTGTTAAATTTGCTGATTCTGAAAAAAACAGAATAATACTGAAATTATTTTTCATATGACTTTTGTTGCATACTTTGCTTTCATGCTTGTTTGATCTATGATCTATTACCTATTTTCTCTTTCTATAGTGTTCTCCTAATATCCATAAAATGGATGGATATTCATGTGATAACAGACAGGTAATTAGGACTTCAGTTAGTTTTACTTTCTTTCTACTCTTATAGATTGCTTTTTATAGATTTTGTTTTAAGATTTTTGGAAGTCACCTGGGACTAGACCTTGGGTGCTAGTCATATTTTGAATGAAAAGAAGATAGAATCACGTATTAGTTGCCTCAATATAACGCATGTGATTAATCTTTATATTAAATAAATACAATTTTTGGAAAATCAAGTGATTTGAAATATTTTCTGTACTTTTTTCCTTCTTTCTAGGGTATTTGCTTTGGAGGAAGATGTAAAACCAGGGACCGGCAATGTAAATATATCTGGGGTGAAAGTAAGTGAATGTTTCTGTTTCTAAGTTGCTTGTAATACATGTGGCTTGAAAGACTATCTTAGCTAAGAAAAATTAAGGAAGAGACATACAGAGAACCATTGAAAACATCTAAAACAGTATGTCTCTCCTTTTCTTCCCCTATCATTTTGTCTTTCCATCCTCCTTTCCACCTCTTTCTCTAGTGTTGGTTAACTTACTGGTGTTTATTCTGAAATCTAAAACTTTAGTTCTCATTAATAACCACCTAGGGAGCCTATACTCATGTTCATTATTTTATTTCAATGGCTTCTGGTCATTTTGACCAATAAACTCTCATCCATCTGAACCAAATTTAAAAACAATCTTGTGGTGCCATCATAGAGCTTTTAACTGAGAAGAACCCTGTGCAGTTTCATGGACCACCTGCAGATCATGGGAAACTGGGAAACTCTGCTTGCTTTGATTGTGTATCCCCATTTCTCATGACATGGCTTTTCAAAGTCATCATCTTAGAAGAGATTTGTTTCTGTTTTTAGAAGTGACGGCTGCTGACAGGTACTGCTATGAGAAGCTGAATATTGAGGGGACTGAGAAAGGAAACTGTGGAAGAGACAAAGACTCTTGGATACAGTGCAATAAACAGTAAGTTGATCCATTTAGAAAGCTACTAGAATGAGGTTCATACCCCTGATCCAGTTCTTCAGCTGGCATGGAGAAAATCCTCTCTATGGATCAGACTTCTGGCCTTCTTCTGCAGACCTTTGTGCAAGAAATCCTGGAGGGAACAGAGTGCCAAGAAGAGATGATCCCTGACAGGAGAGCACCATCTGATCTTGGGAGAGTTTGGACCAAAAGTGGTCCTGGTAATCAGTGAGAGTTAGCAGTGCAGAGGAGAGCAGCCTTTGGTTTCACATCTTGGTGTGGTGTTCACTTTTTATGCTGTGCCATTGCATTGCTAAGTTGTGTTCACTTTTCATGATATTGTAACTTTCCAAGTATATTCTTGCAAGTCGCTGCCTAAAGCAATTTTTCACATTTTACATATATGCAGTTGATTATGTCTGCCAATATCTGAACCTCTCACCAGTCCTTATCAAACTGTTTTTTCAGATTTCTCCATTCTGTCCATGACATTTGATTTCTAGTTCTGCCTATAGGTGAACCAATGCTCTTTCCGACTTTTTTAACACAGATTTGGTAACCTTACTTCTGTTGCATTACAAGTTCATAAGTAAAAAAATTCAATAATATGGGAGATGTCAAACCCTACTATTCTGTCAGTGCAAAAGTCTCCACACATGAATAGTGAGGTCTCTTCGGCAGTTGAATTAAACTTAGTGTCTATAATTCCCTTACATGTGTGTCCTATGAGAGTGCATTAAGAACAGTATCTACTGTTGCTCCTCTATGGACCACTTACTGTATCTTAATAGATCATTAAATCAATTTGCTGTGGTTTGTTCTTTACAGCTCCCTGCTTGTTATTACTCAGGACATTTTTGATAATGTATTATAAAAACAGAGTTTTCCCAATCTAACTTCCAAGGAGAAGAATTTTCTCAGGAAACAGCATCATTTGTGGGAGTTATTGTCAGTGGGAGAAAAGTGAGGAATAACAAATATATTACCAAGCAAGTGGTCATATTTTTGATCATCCATTTTAATTGGATTTTATTTTTTATGAGTATCTGTTTATTTTTCAATGCAGGGATGTGCTTTGTGGATACCTTCTGTGCTCCAATATATCCAGCGTACCCAGACTTGGAGAACTTGATGGTGAAATCACAACATCAATCTTGCACTATGGAAAAGTCTACAATTGCAGGTAATTGGAAATCCTGAAAACAGAACAATCAATATCCATCTTGCATAGAAAAGCAGCTTTCTCATTCCTAAGTGGAGAGAAACTCTTTCCATTAACTTTTTTCCCTGCAAACACATAACCATTATTTCAGTTCAACCTTTGTTAAGCTTCAGAAAATTAACTGCCTGTGGTGCATTTTCATAGTCTCCTCAGTAGGTAATTTTGCCCATAGAGACATAATGCTCTTCTCTCAGGCCCTGAGATTTTACATTCTTTAATATTTCAAAGTGCTTCATGTACCCGAAATACTTAGATCTATGCCTGCACTGCCAAAGTTAACTGGCAGCCTAATTCATTGCTATATTGTAGCTGAATTCTAGTTATAGATGTGGTATGTTTTTGTAGCTTCACACAACCATAAGATGAAGTGACATCTTAACCAAGTAAACTGAGTTTCATCTAACTCTAGGTGTTTCACAGGAAAAATGGTCCTTGTTTTCATGATTAAATTTGTTCGATGTAGATCTAGTGTTTGGGTTTGTCACATATTAGGCCCAGTGAGATCATTAAGCCAATGCTTATTCCTTCCTGGGCACTGTGTAGCACAGAAATACAGAGCCCCGTTTCTCAAGCAGTCCCGTCTGAGCACAGCCCAAGTCTCCAGGGTTCTCTTGGTTGCCTTGCAGCGGTGGCCACGTGAGGCTGGATGAGGACACGGACCTGGGCTATGTGGAGAACGGGACGCCGTGCGGGCCCGGCATGGTGTGCCTGGACCATCGCTGCCTGCCCGCCGAGGCCTTCAACTTCAGCACCTGCCCCGGCACGGCCGACAGCCACATCTGCTCAGGACACGGCGTAGGTTCTACACTCTGCACCTCGGTGCTGCCGCTGCTGAACACCTGGCCTTGGGCAGTCTACTAGCTGGGCCTTCAGGAAGGCAGCAGTGTGACTCCAGAAGGAGGTTTTTGAAAAGGAAAAGGGAAGGGAGGCACATAAGTAAATACAATGTATTCCAGTCAAGGCATCTTAATCAATGAGTCGTAGTTAGTATGTATTAGTTTTATGGAAGTTTTATCAATCAATGTGTTTGCTATCACTTTTGCTAACTTGATTGATATTTTCTCAGGCAATGTGCTAGAGAAAATACAGGGGTTTTATGAACTGAGAAACTTGGGTCTCTGTTCTTTCAGAGTACTGTTCTTTTTATTTCCTTCTTTATTACATAAATAGCCAAGAAGATTCATAAAAATCAAAGGAGTTGATGATGTTGGATTTTGTGAGCTGAGAGTCCCTTTACTCTGGAAAAGAGGGAGTGAGCTGGCTCTTGGCTGGTTTCTCTGCTTGGTGTGCCGTCTGCGGCTTTGCTGTGGCCCTGACAAGTCCCCTTGTCCTTCACAGAGTTTGACAAATGTGCAGGGCCCTATGAGATCAAATAAGTTGTTCTCTCATAATATCTTTTGTCTTTTACCCTGCATTAAAACTTTCTTATTTATCTGAAATAATGCACTTTATCATATTTAGAAAAGAAATCATGAAGGTCAGTCTCCCAAAGCAATTATAAATGGTTCTTTTAAATATAGATTACATTAAAGTATGTATTGAATAAACATTACATTTATTTATATAAAATATAATAGCACATTTAATGCATTTATATCTAACATAAAAAAGTAAGGATTCTTATATATTAAAAATTATTTTGTGAAATTTTATGAGCAGTAAAATCATGGGTTTGACACTGTACCTATACTAGAGGTACTAATTACGGGAATTGATTAATAATCTGATATTTTTCTGAGCTACACTTTTGACTGCAGGTTTGTAGCAATGAAATAAAATGTGTCTGTGACCGATTCTGGGGAGGAGATGACTGCAGTTCTCGCATCAAAGACGATCTATTTATTGATAAAGATGCCATCAATAAAGGTATGTTGTTATAATTTTTACCAACAACTGAAAATGCTTAGATTTGAAGAAAGTTCATTAAGCAAAACTAGGTCTCCTACTCTTTGAGTTAGCACCCAACATGCTGCAGCATCAGGATCCTTGTTCCCCTCTCTTCCACAGCAGAAGCACTCAGTGTCTGTAAATGAAGCCTCAGCCAGTGCATCTTTGGGAACTGGTATCAGTGGGTCCAGTTCTACCATGCTTGTCCCAATCATCTGAGTGGCTTTATTAGGCATATTGATAGATTAGGATAATCAAAAGGTTACTGGGACATTCCACATCTAGATGGAAAGGTAATGCTTGACTTTTACATTTTTTGAGTGGAAGTTTTTATTAAGCTTTAGTCTTGCATACAAAAGAAAGACATATTGTGGAAAAATGAGCTTGTAAATGTTGGTCATTAGAAATCCTTGTGGGGGAACATCTTCCAGAATCCTTCATTTGATAATTTATTCAGTTGTGGAAGGGATCTGAGCAAAACCAAACAAGTAGTCCCTTTAATTCCATGGTAAGCATGTATTTGTTAGAGTAGGTTGTAAGGATATAATCTACAGCAGTTTAATATTGATAAAATTATGTGATTTGGCATACCTGGCACAGGTTTCCCATATAACAAGCATTTAGTTAATGGAAACAGACACAAAGGACAAGGCTTGATTTACAAGTGATCTTTTTATGTCCGTGCTATGCTTCAGGAGTGTATCATGGGTTACAATTAATCAGCAGAGTGAAAATTGTTCAAGCTGGTTTTTGAAAGATGGTGCATTTACTGGTTTTGTGTATTTTTCTCCTAAAATCATGTATATTTTTCATCTTTCTTGTGTTTCCAGGTGTGGTTAGCACAAATATAATAATAGGGGCTATTGCTGGTACCATTTTAGTGTTGGCTCTCGTTTTAGGAATAACTGGTTGGGGTTACAAGTAAGTACATTTTGTTCTTTTTTATAGAGTTTAAAAATATGTGTATTTAATCTAATAGCTGATTATGTCATGAAAAGAACAATTCAAAAAATCTAAAAAATCCAAATTCAACAATATTTTTACAGTAACATTTTTATTGTATTAACATTTCTAAAGCAATTTTTATATTTGTATGTGGTTTTAGAGAGCTTGATCCAAATTTGAAATTTATTTCTCATTTAGTAATTTCTTTTTTTTTAGATGATCAGATTATGATTTTACTATATGTGACAAAGGGAATAAAAGGATATGATCTAATTAATTTATAAATGTTTCCTCATGATGAAGTAAATATAACAAGATTAGCTCTCAGTCAGTCAGCAAAGCATTTAACCATAGGCTTCCTTAAATAGATGATTATATTTAGTCAGCTTAACCTGAAATTAATTTTTTGGTAGGAAAGATCTGCAATTGCAGATAAGACTCAAGTTCTCTCCTAGTGTAGAGCTGTCAGCGCTCACTGAGAGGCAAAATGGATTATATTAGCCTGATTGGTCTTTTTCAATTTTAATTATTTTTTGAATTTCTTATAAAAACAGAGGGATGTATATTTTCGCTTCTAGTAAAAAAAGATTCAAGGTACTGACTTTATCATCTGTGTTTGGATGAGATTGTCTCTTGAAGTTGTTTGTCCCTAGGTCCTTGTGCTTGGAGGGCAGGGCAGGCTCAGCTGCCGGCAGTGCTGTGGCTGGGGCACAGCCCCAGTGCATTGGCATAACCAAGTGGCACAGCCCCTGCTGGTTTGCCAGACTGAGGCAGGCAGAGGGCAGCTCAGAAATATGTAAGGAAGAAGCATTTGGAATAAAAATCATGAAGATGAGGATAGTATAAAAGTAGGTTACACTGTCTTGGTGTACACCCTCGGCTTCAGGCAGTATCTGAAAATCTGGACTTTTCTTTTGAGTAAAACTCTAAAAGTTAAGGGCTCATTCTGAGATCATGTCTAGCCAGTGGGATTAATTTTTGGAGGTTCAGGCTGAGTGCACCTTTCACTAGCAGCTTCACAGTGAACAGGTTTAAACCCATCATGAACTGCACCTTACCTTCAGCACTGACTAGCCATTAACACAATTACATTTTTCTTATTTATTCTGATGTAATATATTTGTAAAAATGCTTATTTCAGAAACGATTTTGTAGAAATATTTTGAGCAAAAATTTCATTCTGTATACAGTGCTTTTCTTTTTACATTTTTTTGGTCTTACTGACCATGTGTACTAAAAACTCATTCTTCTTCCTTTCTCTTCTGTTTATATGGAAAGAAACTACAGAAGACAGAGGTATGTGATAAAAGTAGTGGAATGTATCTTAGAAGTCTCTGAAAATAGCTTTTCTTCTCTTTTGCTCATTTACATGCTATAAAGAAACTATTGACATGGGTTATCATATTTTAAATAATATATGAAATCAGTATTCTGTAATGCATTGCTTGAAATCCTGATCAGAAGACAGTAGCAAAAATAATGTTCTTTATACTTCTGCAATAGACTATTTTATTTAGGAAAACAGGAGAATATTTCCAATAAGAAAGACTGAAAATCCACTATTAGAGATGAAAGTGTTCTTAGGAGGCTAAGAACTGAATAATTAATATTAACATGATGTTCCGGAGCCTTTTGAGAAAAATTAATTCCTGGAGCTTCTTTGCTGTTAAAAATACAATGCAATTAAATTGCTGTGTGGACAAAGAATCCTTCTTTCCTGTCACCCTGTTCAATTGATTCATAGCTAAGGCACAGCACTGGCTTCAGCACAGGGCTGAGCTTTCACCATTTCAAGCTTGTGGCCAAAAATAAACCGTTTTGCTAGTGACTTGTGTTTGGCTCCTGGAAGACCACCTCCCTTTGATCAGGCATCTGCCTGGCAGATGGATCTTGTGGGAAGGAGTTGGCTCCTTCATCTTCCAGTCCCCAACAGATAAGAGGATTTCTCAAATTCCCCTGTTTTCTGCCTGTATCGTTGCCTTCTGGTCCAAGCTGCTGCTTTGTTTGTTGCTGCTACTTGTTGTGCTTGTTCTCCATTTCCCTTTGTGTAGTGCTTTCTATGCCAGGCTCAAAATATTTTTAAAAAGTGGAAGAGCACTGTCAAGTGCTGGTTGTGTGCTACAGGGTCAGATGGGCCACAGGTACAGTGACAGGAAAAAGGCAACGCTGTTGAACTCATGCCTTATGCAGAGGCTGGTGGGTGGGGAATGTCACCCAGCACAAGGAAGGCAGAATTTAAGGGCTTGGTGCTGCTTAGTGGAAACTGATGTACCTATAAATGGAGACTAACATGGCCATCAAGTCATTCTACTGTGGATGTTTCAGTATTTGCTGAGGACAGAGCAGACAAAACCTTGAAACAGAGACAGGGTCTGCCCCATGTATGTTTGTATTGGAATATTAGGGAATGTAATTTCTTCAGATTTCTTCATCTCCAGAAATTACTTTATGACCAGAGATTTGTGGGTATGCAGCCAGTCTGCAGCTGTGTCTGAGAGCACAGGCAGAGTGGAAACCAGTGTAGGCTGAGGCTTCTGAAGGTAATGGAGGACTCCATCATTTTAAAGATGAGGAAAATACTTAGTAACTAAATCTCCTTCATGCATAAAATGAAATTCTGTAGGCTGACTTCTAAATAGAATAATTTTGGATAAGTACAAGGAGTGCTCCATAAATGGAAAAACATACCCACCAGATTGTCCAGACTGTCCCTTTAAAAAAAAAAAAAGAAAGAAAAGAAAGATGACTCCTTCAATAACAGTGGAAAGAAGCCAATATAATATTTTTAAGCATGACATAAGGATGATACTTGGTACTAATAAGCAAGTGAAACAAATAAATTGAAAGTGGTAAGTAGAGCAAATTTGCAAGGATTCTGCCAGCTGGGATAGTGCAGCTTTAAAGGGCACAGCTACATGGGAGTAGTTATTTCTGGTGGAGTAGCAAGAGAGCAGTTTGCTAGAGGAACCCTGGGGAGCAGAGCTGCCCACACTGAGCCAACTCTGAACACACCCATGTGCCAGCTGAGGAATGGGACAAGAACTGAAACTCTAGAGGTATTAGAAGATGGAGTGTGGAAGTACTGCATTGCACTAATGATTTATGTGCCATGTAGTTGTACACTTTACGTACTCCAGGAGCATTAGAAATCCAGATATGGAATGGAGACTTCCCAGTTTAGGTCTGTAGTTGGATACAATCTGAATCAACCTGATAAATGTGCATCCTAATAGGGGCAGACTGTAGCAAAAACACAACTTGGAAAGTATAAGGTTGAATAAGTACTAATGCTGATATGAAATAGTCAACTGTCAAAGTAACTATAAGTACTTGGGAGGATTTTTAAACCTGGTGGAACTATAATTGTAATATTTGCATGGCAGGTATTCTCTGCTGGTGAATTCACCATCTGCAAAAACTTTGCATAACTTGATTAGAACTTTCTAATGCACAGATAGGTTTATGCACCATAACTGAACTTCTAGTTCTGGAAATGGATAAACTAATGTAATAGTTTTGTGTGTCTTAGCAGATTGAGTCTACTACTGTGGTAATCAGGAGTAGCTGAGAATCTCTGACACAGGTGTTAGTTCCCTTACACAGGAAATCAGTTAAAAAACTGGAGGGTTTTATCCTCCTGAGTTTTAAACAACTCAACAGGTTGCTTCTCTTGAATTCAATCACGATCACAGAAGTTAAATGGGAAGCATCTACCTCATAAGGAAAAAAGCATTCACTTTTCCTGAGCTCCTCTTTGATGCAGGCATGTATTCAGCTTAGGTTCAGTACTGGTGCTGCACCTGAGGGTGCTTTTTGCAATCAGCTTGATGAGCTATTTGAAATGTCTGGACTGGTTATCCAGTGTCTCAAGAATCACTAACAGTTCACTTTGAAAATTGTGATCAGAGTTAACTAGTGAAATGTTTCTTGTTTTCCCTTTCCAAACCCACATAATCTACTTTGCTGCACATAACAGAAGTGTGTGGGAGTATTCTCTCAGATGGTTGAATTATTTATTAATAGTCTTATTGTGTGTGGTTAACAGGTTTTCTCAAGGATTGCTGTCCTTACCTCTTTCTCTTAAACTAATGTTCATGCATTTTTGTGTGTGTTCTGGCTCCTGTCATGTTTTCTGACTCTACAATGTTTATTACACTTCAGACAAATACCCCAGGGAGATTATGTAAAAAAGCCGGGAGAGGCCGACTCTTTTTATAGCGACATGCCTCCTGGAGTCAGCACAAACTCTGCATCTAGTTCTAAGAAGAGGTCTGCTTTTCTGTCGCATTTTCAGATTTCTACCTGTTCCATCACCCATTATTCCATTAGTCAGAACATTTCATTGTTTTGCAGCAGGTTTGACTCTTTCTTCTTTCTTTGTGGAATGTTTGAAATAGCATCCTTTTTGCTTTGATTACTGATTTTTCTCCTGTGCCCTAGTTGCAAATTAATATGATTAGGCCAGAATAAAAAAAATTTGCATTGTAAACCAATTTTGTTTAATAAAATTTGCATAATATTCCTGCTTGAGAATTGATTTCAAGTAGCTGCAATAATAATTTCTGGCTGAAAAAAATTTAAATAAAAAGCCAACAACTTTTTAAATCATGGTCATGTAATCAAAGAAAAGGAACATTGTCTTGCTTCAATAATAGTTATAAAATGTTAACTATAAATGTTATTTTTATATCTATATTTGTCAGTGTCATTAATCCAGTGTGTTGACTTAGACTTCTGCTGTCTCATATTAAAGAGGATAGTGATTGCATTTTATTTTACTTACTAGACTAGCATATGAAATGGTGACCAAGTGTTATCTTAGAAAATAATTCTACAAAGACTTTCTGTCGTTTTCTGCTTGCTGTCATTAGATTAGAGAGAATTAGATTTTGCCCTTGATCAGATTTCACAAATTCCATTATTGTTCCAAATAATGTTGCCTAAAAAATCCAACATTTTAAAAGGGAAGATTAATTTGAGAGCCATTTGTAATTGTTAAGATCATGATGCTCACTGTTCCTCTGTAGTTAAAGATTCTTTATATGAAAATCTCCAGCTAGCACTCTAAAACAATTTATATGAAGCACTGTGTCCTAGAGGAACTGACAGTCATGAACTGCTTCACAGGAAAACTGCAATTCTCAATTCTTGTCTCACTAAGCAGCCTGCAACTGTGCAGTTGATGAAGCCATTTTCTTTGCTATTATTCCAATGAAAGTAAAGAGTAATGTATGGAAGGGACACATATGTAGTGACCTTTGCTATTTTGGTATAGCAGCTTGATCTTATATACAGCTTCATTCAGTGTGTTCTAATGATTATGTTATTCAGAAAACTCCAGTAGTGATTACTTAATTATCTCTAATTTTTAAATTCCACTTTTTAGATGTGTGGGTTGCTTTTTTTTCAGGAAGCAAGCATTAATCTTGAATGACACACTGTGTTGGAGAATCTTTTAAAATTTGGTTAAAATTTTGAAAGAATGTCTTGGGAAAGCAAGTTTTCATAGCTTTATCTATCAGGTTTAAATACCAGTTTAACAAAGTTATTTTTAAAAGACTGTAATTTAATGTGTTTCTTCTTTCATGCAGTATCTGTATTTCTTTTCATACTTCATTTATTTCGTATGTCTCTCTATTATTTGTTCGAAAAAGCTAATGGTTTCTAAGGTCTGTCTGTACTAGAGAGTTTTGTTGTTCCCACCACCAGTTCAGTTGTGCCACTGTCAAGTCTGGAAAAGTAAGTCTGACAAATATTCCATTAACATTGTGATACAGCTGACATAGTCGTTCCATTTGAATTCCCAGAGTGCTACCTCCTACCTTCCAAGCTGGTTTAGATTTGCTCTGTGTGCTGGTATGAATGGCATCTCCTGGGAGATGTTAGAGTGACTGGGCCATCAGCTGCCTGGGCTTCTCCAAGCTGGAAAGCACTGTGAAGTATTAGTTGATATTCAGAGGATGTTCAAGGATTAAGACATAACTTTATGATAACTCTTGCCATTATGAAATAGCAAACACCAAAACTATTATATAGCAAGACATTCCTGTACCTGAAAGAGACCTTGAGGAGGAGGAAATGTTTGAAAATCTGTAAATGGATCTGTTGTTTCTCAGACCTTTCATGATGTGATTCAGTTTGAATTACTGAAACCCTGGGCTTACTTCAGTGTGGCTGTGATTAGCCTGAGCTTCTGGAAACTGAAGAGCATCTCTCAGATGCCTCCAAGGAAAGCAGAGACTGGAAAATGCGAGTATCCAGACTTAAAAACTACAAAAATAGTTCCTTTAAGCAAGACTTTGTAATAAGTTAGCCACCTATTATGAATTTTTCAACTTCCTGTTCTCTTTTGGAAATAACTGTAGATCTAATGGCAAACAGCCGAGCAGCAGCTCTAGTTCAACAAGAGGCAGCCTGTTGCAAAACCTCACATGTTGGACATCGCCACATACTGCCTCTTAGAGGGAATAGACATCTCTGCCTCTTAGAGGGAATACAAGAGGAAAGAAAAAAAAGTTTGTGCCAAGCACCTAGATAAAAAGACTATTTTTGGCTTTGAGTTTAGCATTAGAAGTATATACTGTAGGAATTGACTGATAAAATAGAAACGTTGAAAATTAGCAAAAATGAGGCAGAGTTACCTCTCCCCTGGCACTACCAGCTCTGGGTGGGAGGATGTTTGTCACAAATTCCTGAGCCCCTGAGACTGGTAGCAGTGGAGTGAGGGAAGCTGTCCTGGCTTTCCTGCAGCAGCATAAGGAGGTAGTGGGCAGCCTGCAGGCTGGATGTGCTTGACTGTGAGATGAAAAAGCCTTGAAATGAGCACAGTTGTAAGAGCATCTTCCATCTGAACTGAGGCAGAGCTGCAAATCCAAAGGAAATCTGGTGTGCGCCAGTGTTTGTGCATTCTACAGCAGACAAGAGAGAAATCAGTGCCAATGCCTGGCTCTTGAACGTGGGCACATGGAACCACTGCAGGGACAGCTGCAAGGTGTAACTGCAGGGCTTGATCAGAAATCCTGGATGCTCTGCTAGTGCAGACAGACCTTAGGCTGTGTTTTGTCACTGGCCTCGGGAATGTGACCAAACTGCTGAGCTAACATTGATGTGAGACCATACCCTTAACAATAACCGCATCTGAGCCCTCCTATTCCAGGTCAAATGGATTATCTCATTCCTGGAGTGAAAGGATCCCAGACACAAAACATATTTCAGACATTTGTGAAAATGGGAGGCCTAGGAGTAATTCTTGGCAAGGTAAGTGTGAACCACTGTGCTGGCTACAGTGGAAACCAGCCTCTGGACCATTGCTGCTGTGCTGAAAATTTAGCTGATCTTAGGACAGCAGCATGACTCCTTTAAATGGTGCTAATTGTTATTAACTTGGAATTAGGATTTAGCAGCGCCCTGTACAAGTGCCTTTTTTGCACTGTGCTTTGTTACAAAGAAATTACATTTAATTTCTCCCTCCAGTGTGAGCTAACACGAAAAAGAGAAAGAAATCTATTTGCTATTGCCAGCTTCCATGATTTTATCAGGCAGTGTTTAGTGTTTTTCTCGAAGTGTAGTGATTTTGTCAAATAACAGCTGAAATAAAGGAATTTTTTGCTCTGCACAGTTGCAGCAAAAAATAGAGAAAGGTAACCTAAGTGTCTGAGATAAATCAAAAGGAACAGACCTGTGAGATTTTAATTGTTAAAGGTAGCAACTCTTTTGCTATAGATGGAAAAAGAATATAAAGTTTGGCATGGGGCAGGTGAGTTTCAAGTTGTTTTACCGTCTTTGTCCTTTGATTTCTTTCAGGTAATATAGGAGGAAACAGAAAGAAAGTCAGAGGCAAAAGATTTAGGCCACGGTCTAATTCAACTGAGTAAGTCTGAATTTAAAAAAGCAAAGCCAAAAAGTAGAGTTTTCATATTTGTGTTTTGTAGATGGAAATTAAGAGTACTGAAAAGTAGACAGCTGCATTTTTGCTCTGTGGCCCATTCTGATTGCTGACTGATAATCTGGTGAATGGTTTGGCTAATGTATTTCAACCTCTTTTTATGTATTCTTTAAAAATTAACTATTAATTTTCTTTTTTTATGTAGGCTTCCTCACAGTCGTTCCCATAGCAATTCCCAATGATGGTGGCAGCCTGCACCATCACTGCAGGCTTTTGTCTACAGTAAACTGCCATTGCTGAGTGTATCCTGGTTCAATACTGAGTTTCTCATAACCTGACTGTTTCCTACCCTTGTCTTCACCTTGGGTTGGGCCATTACAGAGTTAGAGATTTGTATCTCTGCATACCTTCTTGGAGGTTTTAGGAGAGGTATCTGTCTGCTTTGAAAGTACCTTGAAGTTTGCCATTGTAAGCCTGAAGCAGCCAGTTTTGAGTAAGCCCTGTGATAAATGGGTAATTAAAATCTTTACTAAGTGGCTGACCCCCAGACTTTTCCACTACGGCTTAGAGTTGCTGGCTTATTGATTTATGGGTTACATTTCCTGAAAGCCCATGTGTGCAGTGGAAAGAGCCTTTCTTAGGTACTGAAGCCTGTTGGTTCAGGCCCCTCTTGTGAATGAATGGTGAATGGCTGGAAACTTGGGCTTGTCAAAAGCACTGGCCTGTTATTACAGCTCTTACACCCCACGTGAATGGCCCCTTTTTTGATCATGACAGCAGTGACAGTGTCCTTCCCCATATCATGACTACTAACTTTGCACCTTGATGGGCAAATGGGCTTGATACCAACCCTACTGGAAGCTAATAATGCTAACTGCTCTCTGGGCCCCATTTTCTTTGGTTTGGGGGATTTTGAGTTTGTTCTGAAACTTTTCTTTCACCTACAGTGCACTGTCTTGAGGTGAGTAGGCTCAGAAAGGGTTCACAGAGAAAACCCTATGTTACAAATTACAGAAATAATACTAAGATGCACTTTGCAATTATAACATTGCATGGCCAAAATGGCATCGTGGAATCAGAAATTTTAGCCCTTGGAGAGTTTATCTCAAGAGTCTCTGTGCTCTTTGGCTGATAAACTGAAGTGTTATTTTGCTCATTTTCTTTCCTCCTTGCATGAGATAATTTGATAAGATCAAAATTAGTCTGGCCAAACTGCCAAAATTACAAATGAGATTTACTCTGAGAACTTTGGACCATTAAATAAGCAGGCAGACAGAGATATTGTGAGATGGAAATATTTTCCCTGTATATTTGTTTCTCTTTTAGAGGTACCCCTGAATTTCCACCTAATTCTCTGCTTTCCTTCTTGCTGCTTGTTACGGTGGTCTCTCAACACAGCAGCAGCCCTGATGCTACAGGGAGGAGGCTTGTACTTCCCAAGGGCCATGCAGCAACCTTTCAGGGATGAAGCACAGTGTGTGTGTTCCTGGGAGAGGCTGCCAGGCAGGAAAATCCTCTTTCTCCTGATCAGGTCAATCTGGACTGCACAGGCCTGAATGGCTTGTGCGAGTCTCCTTGGGTATCCTGTCACCAGCTGGAGAGAGAGCTCCCACTGAAGGATCCACATGCTGTGTCAGTTCAGTGGGGAATTGAGAGAGCTGCCGAGGGCTATTAGAGGGCACTTATCTCTCTGCTTAGAGGGACAGCTTGTTTTGCAAGGAGAGAAAACGGACTGAGAATAATTTAACTGTGACCAGCATTTAGTCATTTAGGAAAAAAAAAAAAAAGCAGCACCAGCTGCTTTGAGGATGCTGCAGGACACATGGAGGATTCTCCCAGATCAATTTAGCTTTCTACCTTGTCTGGGAAATACAGAATAATATTGAAATGTGTTATGAAGCAGTATTTAGAAAGTCCACCCATGTGGCCCTTAGGAGTCTAATAAAGTACACTTGTTGAGATGCAAGAAAAAGCATAACAGTGTTGGTCTCCTGCAATTAGCAGACAGTAGTAAACCATTATAAAATTTGGTTTATTAATGCCGTAATTTGTGCAGAATTCAATTTTTTTTTTAAGCAGGAGCACACTAGTGTGGTTGCCTACAAAGATACTTGTATGAGTCAGTCTCCAGTAACTGCGCACATTATGCACAGGGGTTTTTTTGTATACAGCCAAGCATCAAATAGAATTGTGCCATTAATAATTTAAGCAAAATTTCTTAAGGACTGAGCAAAGTTTGAAGTGTGAATCCCTCACGAGCACAACAAGAAGTTGCAAACATTTTGGGCAGTTCCTGAAAAAGTCCTGCTCACATCCTTGGATCTAACATACATGAACAAGGCTTATACTAAGCATAGAGCTCTGAGGAGACTGTTAAAGATATTTTGGGATATTTTTAATCGTTTCTGGTTGTTTTATAACAAAATAATTATTCTTTACTAAAGGCAAATGGTTCATTACATTGGAAGGAATGCCAACAGGCCAAATGCTTTTTCAGAAACATGGCTGATAAAATGGCCTGATAAATAGTTCTCTATTAAAATCAATTAGAATTATCCAGCAATGATGAGAGGTTTCTGAATAAGTTGACAGCTTAATTGGGAGCTTGTGTTAAAACAGGTCCCAGGAACAGACAGCAATTCAGACCTTTGTTAATTTGCACTGCTTTTCCTATAAGCATTTGTCTTCCTCGTTGTTATAACTGATACGAACGTCTTTGGTTTAGACTTTCTATTATATATTGTCTTTTTGCAGCCGGGTAACCCATGCATCTGAGTCTGGGCTTTCTCTCGCCCACCAAATCCCTGCCCAAGGCATAAGCCCAGGGGGTTCTGACCACCCCCAAACAGGGAGTCGGGATCACAGGTCAGTCTCACCTGCCCCTGCATTCTGGGCTGCCATTTAATCCCGTGAAAAGTCCCTTCCCTAGTATCCGATGGTTTCACTGCGGCCAAACACCGCGACTGCTTGGAGGTGCTCGTGCTGATGCAGCGCTAGCTACCCTTCCTCCTGGCCAGCCTGAGGAGTACGAGTACTCTCGAGCCCAGGTCTCTGCCTTGTTGCATGTTGCGCTACGAGCCAAATCGAGCTGTCGGTCTAGCTCTAGGCTTATGCGTAAGGACACCTTGTTTCAAAGCAGAATTTCTCACTCAAAGCAAATGTGGATTCTGGCCATTACTAATGAACATGTGGCCAGAAAGGTCAGCCTGGGGGCTTTCCAATGGTATCATATAGTGTTCTGCAGTAACTCGAGTTTAACCTGTTTGTGACATGGATTGAGGTGGTGAATGATGGTCTGTAATACACTCAGACCCAGGAAACCCTGCAACATGGTTGTGCAACAATTGCATGCTTTGATAGCACCTTACATTGTCTAATACAGGAAGCCAGATTGGGAGTGTTTCATGGTTACCAATAGACCCTTTCAAATGAAAAAGCACGAGTTTAAAGCATTGCACAGCGTACAAGAAAATGTACAATTAAAGCAAAAGCAGAAGTTTATTAGTTCCTGGTGATGCTGGCATCAGCCTGTTGCTTCACTTGTGGTTCATCTGTTTCGCTGCACTGCTGCCTTTGATGTTTTCTTTCTCTAAGACATCAAGCTGGAAAGCATAAAGCACTCCCAATTCCTGATAAATAAGCAAGCTGAGGAAGCTACTTAGAAGCACTTGTGGCTGAGGGCGAGAACTTTCTGAGAGCTGTGGCTGTGCTTGCGCAGGGTGGGGAGGAGACGTTCCAGAGCAAAAAAGGAGCAAAAGAAGTCGAAAAAGTGCTGCTGCTTTTGTTGTCACCGTTGTTTGAAATATGGAGGGGGTTGAGTGGCATGATTTGGCCCAACTTTTATTCATCTGAGCAATTTCTTGCAAGGCCTGTTCCCATGTGTGAGGTCACTGGAGTCACTCCCATAAACAAGGGTGGCAAAAACTGGACCAGGAGTATCAAAAATAACTTATGAGGAATTTTCTTTCCCATTTTCCTTGGTTAAAATTTGTTTCCTATTTCATTGTGCTAGTTTCTATTGTATAAAGATGGTGATCACAAATAATCATTTGATTGTTGCCATTCATATGTAACAAGAACAAACTTTAAATTGGTCCAGTCAGACTCCTATTTTCTGCATTGTTCTTTTTTATCAACATGACAGAGGGGGAGGAATTTGCTTATCTTGTGATTGGGAAAAGTCTGTTAAAAAAAGTTTTCGTCTTCCTTGGTAATTTGTTGTCAGATAATTAAACATAATCTTTATTTCATAATTTTCATGCAACTAATATGAGTATACAACTCAGACTTTTTTCCCTGAAAAATGTGGTTTTGGTGTTGATATTGCTTCTGTAAAATATGAGATAACTCTGCAGCCCACCTCCATTAAAGCCAAACTAAATGAACATTGAAAAATCAGAGGGTGGTTTGCCTGTAAGTGTAAAAATTGTCACTATAGTGGCAAAAAATTCAAACCTTTTAACAAAATAAGGCTGAAATTCATTCCTGTAAAAAGGGTCAAGTCCAACATTCTGTGCTCCTTTAGCCACTATTTTGCAATTTATCTAGGTGGGTGAAAAGTGTGTCTTTGGCAAGCAAACTTCATGATTGAAGCCAAAATGCCCCTTCATCCTTATTTTGAGATCATGAGGGAATTCAAACCATGAACTTAATGCTGGCCCTCTGCATAGGAGTGAATTTTACCCTTAAGACATTAAATGAATGATGTATCCCAAAGAGTTTCTAGATTAATCAAACATATGAGTCTTGTTGTAGGTCAGATTTTCTCATGCAGTTGTACACGTTGCCTAGTCCTCACCCAAATCCATACTGATTTATTTGCCATATTCACTTACATTTTGGGGATGAAGACATCCTTGCTAAGCTTGTGCTGTGTGTTCTCAGATTTTCTATTCTTGTTCTTCTGCTTTCTCTGTTCCTTCCATTGCTTTCTGCAGGTATTTAAACCCATGGTTCAAAAGAGAATATAATGTAGCTAAGTGGGT